TGAAAAACTGCCATTTTCCAGAGCATTATCTCAATATCTCGAGATTCTGTTTCCCAGCAATTTTTGACAATTTTGAGCAAATAAAATAACCTCACAAAATTTCTTTACAGGTTTGAATGTTTCTCACATGAACAGCAACCTCCTGACCAGTCTCCTTCTGGGCTCCAGTCTCTCCCCTCCTCATCCATTTTTTTTTTCTTTTTTTTTTTTCTTTTTTTTTTTTTTTTCCAGGAAAAGGGTAATGGCTTTATTATAAAAGACTTCTTTTTTTTAATCTTTATTGCTGAAAGTATTACATATGTCCCCTTTTTTCTCCCATTGACCCCTTAATGCTCACTCTTGCCTCCAACCCCAGGCCTCCTCATCTATTCTGGTCATAGTGTCTATTTTGTCAATCACTTGCTCAAAACCCTTCTGGATCTCTCTACTGACTACCTCATCAATTAAACTCTTTAATCTTTCTCTCTCATCTGTGTTTCTATATTTCTATCCCTTTCCCTTTCTCTCTAAAATTAACAAAAATATATTTTTTTAAAAAAAGAGTATGTAAGGCAGTTACATGAAATGCATTGGTGATAGCTTAGGGAGGCAGGAGAAAGCAAAATGGGGACATTTCAGGGATTGGACAGAAAGTAAAATGAATAGACACATACTTTTACATAGTGGGTACAGGATAGTTAACAGTCAACAGTTACCATGGTAACAATAACCATGACAGGATTTGTGATCTCCACTCTGGTGGGGTGGCTATGCTCTGAAGGAGGGTGGGGGTGAGATTAATCAGATATGTTATAATACATGCAAAAGACAGTACACAGGCCCAGTTAAGGTGAAGACTGATCTTGGTTAGGGAAAAATGTTGCCCTAACAGGCATGACTACCTGCTATGAACTGCTTTTAGTTAGAAAGTTTTCATTTCAGATCATGCTGTGTGGTTCTTTTCAGTCTCTGAGTTTGTAACGCCGCTGGGCAGACCTCCCCTGAGCTTGTCATTCACACTAAGAAGCAGAAGCGAAAATGCCATCATATGCTTTCTCTGTGCAAACTTGCTGGGAGGAGCTCAAAGAGAAACACGCAGGTGCTTCAGTGAGCTTCTCAGAGTTTCCTAAGAAGTGCTCAGAAAGGTGGGAGACCATATCTGCTAAAGTGAAAGGGACATTTGAAGAAAATGGCAAACTTGGACAAGGCACGCGATGAAAGAGAAATGAAGACTTACATCCCTCCTAAAGGGAAAGCAAAAAAGAAACTTGAGCCCTAGACGGTGTGGCTCAGTGGATAGAGCGTTGGCCTGTGGACTGAAGGGTACTGGGTTTGATTCCCGGTCAAGGGCACCAGAAGAAGAAGAAGAAGAAGAAGAAGAAGAAGAAGAAGAAGAAGAAGAAGAAGAAGAAGAAGAAGAAGAAGAAGAAGAAGAAGAAGAAGAAGAACTTTTCTAACTTCAGACTATCCTACAATGGGAGGAAAATGAAGATGAAGAAGATGATGATGATACGTTGGTTCTAGGCAACTTTTTTTTCTTGTCTATAAAGCATTTACCTATCCTGTGCACAACTCATTCCTTTTAAAGAAAAAAACTGAAATTAAAGGCTGTGTAAGATTTATTTGTTTTGTTTTTTGACTACAGGCCCAGAGCATGAATTCATTCATGGGTTGGGTCCAGCAGGCCAGCCCTGATCAGGGCCACTGGGAGTTGGGGGGCTGTGGGGAGGGGCCGCTGGTGGTTGGCTGGCTCCACCCCTGGTCAAACTTCCAGTTGAACTCCAGGTCGAGGGGACAATTTATGATTAGCCTTTTATTATATAGGATTTTTTTTTTAAGATTTGTTTTTAAACTATACAGTGTCTTTTTCTGAGTGTATAGAAAACACACTACTGAATGTCTTTTTTAAAATATATTTTATTGATTTTTTACAGAGAGGAAGGGAGAGTTAGAAACATTGATCAGCTGCCTCCTGCACACCCCCTACTGGGGATGTGCCCGCAACCAAGGTACATGCCTTTGACTGGAATCGAACCTGGGACCCTTGAGTCCGCAGGCCAATGATCTATCCACTGAGCCAAACCGGTTGAGGGTCGAATGTCTTTTTTTAATGGTTTTTTGTTTTATAATCCTCACAGAATATGTGTTTTTATTTATTTTAGAGAGAGAGGAAGGGAGAAAAACATCTATCAGCTGCTTCTAACGGGGAATCAAACCTAAATCTAGGTATGTGCTCTGACTGGGAATTGAACCCACAACCCTTCCATGCACAGGACAAAGCTCCAACCAACTGAGCCACATTGTGAGGGCCTGCCCAGATGTGTATCTGGATAGTCCTGTCCTGGTGGTATTTCCAATAGCCACTAACCTTGCCTGGTTCAGCATGGGGTTGAAAATTGACATGGAAGTTTAAAGCAGGTTCTTGTACACAGCACAAATTAGTTACATGTGGGGATGGTAGTTTACTCATCTTCTGTTGTCTCTGATGCAGCTTTTAGGAAACAATTGTTCTCTAAACTGTATACCACTCTAATTACCAAAAAAAAAAAAAAAAAAGTTGCAGCTGTTTTGTTGACATTATAAATGCTGCTAACTAATACAATCTTTATTAGTAAAAAAGAAAAACTGATCAATAGTATTAATCTACAAAAAAGAAGATATAAAAAAATTAAAAATAGCCCTGACCGGGTTCGATTCTGGTCAAGGATATGTACTGTGGTTGCGGGCACATCCCCGGTGGTGGTGTGTGTGTGTGTGTCTGTGTGTGTGTGTGTGTGTGTATGTGTGTGTGTGTGTGTGTGTGCAGGAGGCAGCTGATCGAGGTTTCTCTCTCATAGATGTTTCTAACTCTCTATCCCTCTCCCTTCCTCTATGTAAAAAAATTAATAAGATATATTTTTTCAATTAAAAATAAAACAGAGCCAGGTGGTCTTCGTGGGTAAGTTTACCAAATCAAGGGGCAGGAAGGGCATGCATATGTATAATCTTATACATATTTCCAGAAGTCAAAAAAGGAGGAAATACTGCCCAATTTACGTTTTGTGGCTGGTGTAAAATATCATTTGTAGTAAAGGCTGCTAGCTGCCCCCTTACCTTTTCTCCCCTTATATCTCATAGCAAAAAGGACACCGGATAGTGTAAAAACAAACTTCCTTTTAAATTCAAATAAAGGCCATGCTCCCCAGCCTTTCTTGCAACGAGGTGTAGCCACATGATTCAGCTCAGCCTGTCTGGTCCCTGAGCTTGTGGGTAAGAGAGGAAGTCTCGCCCTTCTCTGGCCCTGCCTCTCCCCAGGGAGGCCTCAGGCCGAGTGCCTGGCTCTGCAGCGACAGCGTCTGTCCCTCTGGGGCCTGTCTGGCTCTAGGCCCTGAAGCCCACGCGCTGGCGGCTGTTAAAGAGTCTCTGACCTCCACTAACAGTCAGCGTCCTCCCCAACACTCCAGGTCTGAGCTCAACTCTTCTAGAAACAGGCCTCTAGCTGGGGTCACGCGCCTTCTCATTTCCTGCCAGCTGTTCTAAAGCCTTGGGAGGACGGACGTGCTGAACTCCAGACATGCACCGGAGCACTGAAGGGAGCACAGCCGCTTCTCTCAGGGAAGCAGGAGCTGGATCCTAAGGGACAGGGCTGGGGTTGGCCCACCCGACACCCCACCACCACCACCACCATCACCACCACCACCCTCTTCTAAGACATTCAATGGGGAGGGTTGGAACAGGAGGAGCCTCTGGTATTTCACATGGCGTCCCTCACCCCTTGGCTTTGAGAACCTAACTCCTCTGCACCAAGGCCTTGGCTCCTGACTATTCTGTCCAAATCCCCAAGACTCCTTTCTCTCCATTAGATCTGCCCACCTCCGGCATCCATTCTAGCTCAGTTTATCCTGCCCCCAAAGCTTCCCCAGGTAGCCCACCCTATATCCCCAATGACCCTATTGCTCTCTAAAGCAATAGTCTGTCTTCATGGGGTTTGCTCTGTGCTTCCTGAAGGAATGGGGAGGGGGATAGGGGGGAAAGGCAGGGATTATGTACTGACTCATATATTTTAAGTTGACAGCTAAGATTTTTTTGTCACAACTTTAAATCGTTGCAGAGTGTATAAATCCTGGAGTGCTTTAAATATTGTTGCTTTTTAAATAAAACAAGTCTTTTAAATTTGTGTTTGATGAAATCTAAGCATCACAATGGTGTAATGCTCTGCATTATCCATTTAAATATGCTAACATTCACCCGGCTGTCGTGGCTTGGTAGTTGAGCATCAACCTATGAATCAGGGTTTGATTCCTGGTCAGAGCACATGCCTGGGTTATGGGCTCTATCTGGGAGAGTGCAGGAGGCAGCTAATCAATGATTCTTTCTCATCATTGATGTTTCTATCTCTCTATCTCTCTCTCTCTTCATCTCTGAAATCAATTTATATATATTTGTTTTTAATAAATAAATAATCTGTTGATAAGCATTCAGGTCCCCAGTGCAAAGGGTCATGGCCCCTCTCTCTCAGAATTGCAATAAGGTGCAGATGAGACACACTGTCTGAGTCTGGGCTAGGAGGGCCTCAGTTGGTGACATGCGGCCTTTGGACCTTCATGGAGCTGAAAGGAAGGTCTGCTGGCCCAGGGCTGACAGCACCTGCTGGGACCTAGGACTTCTACTTCTTTCTAAGGTTCCAAAGAGTGGAAAGGTGTTTGGTGTGTGTGTGTGTGTTTTGTTGTTGTTGTTAATCCTCACCCAAGGACATTTTTTCCATTGATTTTCAGAGAGAGAGAGAGTAGAAAGGAGGGGGTAGGGGGAGAAAGGAGGGAGAAGGGAAAGAGAGAGGGAGAGAGATAAACATCCATGAGAGAGAGAGAGAGACACAGCGATTGGTTGCTTCCTGCACACGCCCTTCCCAGGGCCAGGGATGGCACCTGCAACCCAGGTACGTGCCCTCGACCAGGAATCGCTGGCCAGGACGTGTGTGGAAGGGTTTTAATGAGCTTCACAAAGGGACTGGGTGAGGGGGAGACAAATTTCAAATCCAGCCTTTATTGCCATGCTTCAGGGGCTGAGGAGGAGGGAGAAGGCTCCACCCTGCTTATCTCTTCCCAGACCCAGAGGCAGCTAACTGGAGGGCAGTACCTGAAAGTCCTTTCCCAGCTGAGGGACTGAGGGGAAGGGGAGATGTCTCTGGTACTTATGCCAGGAGCAGGAAGACCTGGAGCAGCGAGCTGACCTCCAGGGGTCACGAGAGACTCAGAATTAGGCAGGAACATCAGATGTTGGCAGGGTAGGTGGACTGAGGAAACACTTGGGTTACCCAAACAGCACTGAGGGCCTGGATGCCCAGCGTCTGCTGGCTCTAGGGACTGAGACCCTGAGGTAGGCACCCCCAGACTGAGATGCTCACAAAGAGGCCCTGACATCATCCCCTCCCCCTGTTCAGCAATGATCAACAGAAGGTCTGGAGGGAGAGGTGAGGGCAGGGCCTGGGTGGGCAGGAGGCTGGTAAGAGCATGAGGGGCGGGCATTGGGGCAGCGCCATGAGGGGATGGTGGGATTCTTTAGCTGCTGCTCTGCTGCTCCTGCTCGCGGATGAGGTTGGCGATGGGGCTGGTGATGCCTCCTATCAAGGTCCAGTACTCGTCAAAACTGATGCGTCCGTCGTGGTTGGCGTCCAGGTTCTGGATGAGCTTGTCGGCAGCCTTTCGGTTCCCCGTGTCCTGGGGAGGAACCTGGGTCAGCAATGCTGAGAGTGGCAGTCCCACAGAACCCCCTAGGCAGAGGCCCAGGATCTGGCTCAGGCCTGGGTACCCCAAGAGGACAGAGGCTGCCGAAACCGATTTGGCTCAGTGGATAGAGCGTTGGCCTGCGGACTGAAAGGTCCCAGGTTCAATTCCGGTCAAGGGCATGTACCTTGGTTGTGGGCACATCCCCATTAGGGGGTGTGCAAGAGGCAGCTGATCGATGATTCTCTCTCATCGATGTTTCTAACTCTCTATCCCTCTCTCTTCCTCTCTGTAAAAAATCAATTATATATATATATATATATATATATATATATATATATATATTTTTTTTTTTTTTTTTTTTTTTTTTTTTTAAAGAGGACAGAGGCCTGGGCAGGGTCAAGACCCTGGTTTGTGGGGTAACTCTGAAAGAACATGGCTGCACTGGGGAACTCAGGGCTTGGTGGGGGGGGGGGGCTGGGAGAGACAGAGCCCTTGGGTGGGGGCCTTACCGTCAGCATGTGGTTGAGCTCGTGCTGAAGCATCTTTCGGAAGCTGCTCTTACTGATCTTGTTCTTGACCAGGCTGTACTTGGACACGTATTTGTAGAAGTTTTCCACCAGAACGACAACCGCCTTCTCCAGCTCTGTGTAGCAGTCCGCCATCACTGCCTCACTCCTCGAGGGGCCTGGGCACCATGAGGATCACAGGTGAGAAGAGACCCCCACAGGCCAAACCTCCTCCCTCACACACACCCTGGGTCCTGGGTCCTCCTAGCTGACAGGTCCTCCAGAAGGAGGCAGGGAGAGGGCGGCCCAGGGGGGTAGCCCTGGAATGAGGACTATGTGGTTCTTCTAATCCAGGTGTTCCCCAGCTCAACTGCCTCAACAGGTTCTCCCGGCCCTTCCCCAGCCCCAGGCACTGGGCTTGTCAGAGTCCCAGGGAGAGCAAGAGGCTCCCGTGGGAAGAGAGTAAGTGCCCATCCCCTCCACCATCTGCACACCTGTCTCACCCAGGTCCTCTGCCCCTGGGGGCAAACACAGCTAGGAACTGGGAGGATGAGCCCAGATGGCCGGGGCAGAAGCCATAGTCCCCTCCCCAGACACCAAGATTGGCTGAGACCCCAGCCCCAGGCAACAACGCAGAGGCAAGGACCGAGGCCCTCCGCAATCCATGCGGCCAGGCGCCAGGAGAGCGAGCCCAGACTCCCAGGCCATGGCCGCTGCTGGAAAAGGACAATGTCCGGATTCATTGAGTCAGACATTCTGCAGACTCCCAGCCACACCCCACTAGCCTAGCCTCGCTCGTACCCACCCCAAAACACGCAACGGGACCCGAGGACCCTGTACCCAATTACCTAAAGAGGCGCCAGGCCGGGTCTGCCCCAGCTGGAGACAGAGCTGCAGCTGGCCAGCCAGCCGGCCAGCCAGTGGCCACACAGTCACCTCCTCACCCCAGGACAAAAGACACTCACATTCCCGGCGGATACAGCTTTCTGAATAACAGGATATGAAGGGACAGGCGGGTCTGCTCTGAGTCGCCGCCCATGCCCAGTGCCCCCCCAAGTGAACCCGGGCAATGAGCCTCCACGCACGCCTCCAAGCCCAGGAAAGAGCTGCAGCCGCCCTGCCCGTCAGATCCTGGTGAGGGAAGGGCCTGGGCATCCACAGTTCAAGTCCCTGCCCCTCCCACCTGCTCTCCAACGACGTCTTCCTCTGTGCCCACCGCCTTGCCCTCTCTGCCTAGCTAAAGCCTGCTGGACTGCACCTCCCACGGGAAGCCTGCCCTGACCCCTGCCCTCCATGCCCTCCTCCCCTGGCTCCCATACACTTTCAGTTGGCATTGGCCTGGGCCCACTCACTGGTACGGCTCCAGCCTTTTCCTGGGTCTTAGAATCTCCCCAGACACCAGACGTTCCTGGAAGCAAGACACACAGCCATTGTGTATTCTGAACTACACAGAAGGACGAGGCTTTTGGGCCATTTTGTTAAAATCCTGGATAGAAAACCTCACTGCTTTATTATTTTTAAATATATATATTTTATTGATTCCTTAGAGAGAGAGGAAGGGAGAGGGAGAGAGAGAAACATTGAAACACTGATGCGAGAGCCAGACATCTATCGGCTGCCTCCTCCCTTACCCTCCTCCCTTCTCTGCCTTCCCTCCCCTCACAACCCCACCCCGCCCAGCCCCAAGGAGGGATCAAGCCTGAAAGACCGGGCATGTGCCCTGACCCGGAATCGAACCAGCAACCTTTCCGTTGGACTACGCCCAACCAACTGAGCCACACCAGCTAGGACTTAAAGCTTTTTAATCTCTGCATTTCTTCTGGCTTGCATTGCTCAGCCCAGTGCTTTGTTCAAGGAAGATGTTCTATAAATGCCCTGCTTCCTTCCAGCCCTGATACCAGGTGTACAAAGACCCCTGATCACGCTTCTAATGCCTGTTGGTTTTGTTGGTTTTTGCAAAGCTTTTTTGGAAGGTGGAATGAGACTGGCCCAGGATGCAGGAAGGAAGGAAGGAAGGTTGAGAGAGGTCAGGCTGGGGCATCTCTAACTGGAAATCCTTTCCTTACCTCCCCTGGTCTGTGACCAAAAGGAGGAAGAATGGAACCAGCACTGCAGCAAGGATTGTGTCAAGTGTACTCCCAACCAAGCTTTGCGAGTGGCACGAGAGTTCAGAGAATACCCCACCCTTAACCAGCCTAGACCTTGTTCCCTGAGTGAGGAATTTTGTGGAAAATAGGAAGAGGAAATGGAAAGAAATCCAATTTAGGGGATGGCATGTCTTTTCCCCTTTCCCCAAAGCCTGCCCACCCCTCCCACCACCTGTCCTCTTGGAGTCTTGGTTCTCTGACTGGAGGAACCTCCTGCCCGTCCTTGACACCTATGTCCCTATGGGGGTCTGGCAGCCAGTAGGCAGGATCCTGATGAGCACCTGGTTGACAATCAGCCACCTGCTGTCAGGTGTGCGATCACCTCAGAGAGCTCTGGATTTCAGTTCCCAGACCTCACAATAGTCTGCTAATCACCCATCCACACCTTCCCCTTCTTTTAAGCCAAATGGCCACCTCTGGAGATACATCTGGATAAGTGCCTTTCTGAAGGAAGAATGTCAGAGTGGTATAGTCAGGTGTCTCCACCCTCTTCCGCCCTTCCTCCCTCCCCTGGGGGCTGGGAGACAGGCTCTGCCACTACACCCATGTCACAGCCACCTGCTCCTCCCGGCCTGCCCCATCCTCTCACCCAGGATGGTCCCAGGCACAGGATTGGGGCAGTGAAGGCAGGCCACATGTTGTTCTGTCGGAAGGTAGGTCCTGTATTGACTTTGCTACAGGTAGATCCTGGAGGAGGTAGCCATGTCCATGAGAGCCTTCCCAAAAAGTGGGAATGGGGAGGCCACTGGTTCTCCAAAGGATCCCCTTCACCTGGGGCCCTCAACCCTCCCACCATGCTCTCATTGTCTTCTCCTTGACTGATTTCATGGTTGAGCAACCAGAAGCCCCCATCCCCACCCCCATTCCCTTCAGCCCAGCAGGATGACGACTTCTCCAAAAGCATAAATTGCCCTGACACCATGCCATGTGTTCAGCCACTCCAGCCCCACCCTTCCACCCCCAGGTTCCGGGCCCCACCCCTCCGGGTGCCTCCTAACCATCCCCCATCTCTTCCACTCTCTCATCCCCTTCCATCTGGAGCTCCGGACATCCACGGCACTCTTAAAAAACTCACCTCCCCCTCCCAGCTTCTGCACACACTTCTTGAGTCTTAAATTGTTCCCAAATGTTGGGCTATATCCCTGTGTTAGAGTGAGCGGAGAGAAAGATGTGAGCTGGGAGAGGCTGGGAGAGGCAGCTGGGGCCTGAGGGAAATAAGGGTGAGACATGACAAATTAAAAACAGACCATGGAGATACCGGGTCCTTAAGTGAGAAGGAAAGATCCCTCCAAGGAGGGTCTAACTCTAAGCGATGGCATTACCCCTAGGGTCCTGGGTGAAGGAGCCTCGTAGCTTAAAGATACATTTCTTTGGACACCCAAGGGAGGGAATGACTTGCTCCGCACATAGGGTCATTCCAGCCTAGAGGTATGAATCCTCTAACCTCCTGGATACGGGTATTTGGTCTCAGCCAGCTGAGCTGCCCACGTAGGGCTCTTAGTTGGGTTTCATCCAGCTGAGTTGCCCATTCAGGTCCAATCTGAGTGTATTTCTTTCCTACAAATAAATCCTCGCCTGCCCTTGCTGCCATCAAGTTGTCTCTTGTTTGAATCCATGCCTACAATCAAGGCAAGAACTAAGGGCGCAGACCACTGTCTCAGGCCAGAGCTTATCTCCGCCAGAGACCCCCTTGACCACCACTGGCACCTGGACTCCTCTCTCTCCCAGTTACCATCCTCCTTAGAGCCTAGCCCACTCTCAAGCCTAAATTTGGTATGCCCCGGGCCCCTTCCATCTACCTCAGATTTGTTCACTCTTTTATTCATTCACCATTCATTTGCTTGTCCATTCATTGACTCATTCATTCATTTATTCACTCATTCGTTCATGCCCTTCCTTAATTCACATCAATATACAGGGAAGGTGCAATCCAAAGTGGGCTGGGGATGCTTTGCTCTATTTGCAAGGCTGTTCCAAGCTAATCTCGTCAGCCTCCTTGGCCCCATTCTCTGCTCTGCCTTCTCGTGGTCTGTTCCCAATTCCAGAGGCTACTCTCTCACCCAAGTGCCCCTGCCTCGCCCCCCCCCACCCCCCAGGACTCACTGCATCTCATTCACACACATGGACACACAGAGGGAGGAACTCCAACATTCCTGACCCCCTCTATGTGGGTAACCTAGCTACCTTCCGCTCACTTGTGATTTTAGAGAATGTAGCTGGAAGGAGAAGCTTGCTCCCCTAAATTCTTTTCTGGATGAGTAAGCTGGCTAGGGAAAGGCTGAGCCCCCTCATCAGCACCTCCCCACAGAGCTCATGCCCTCACCCCCATCCCCCACCCTGCCCGGACAGGGCTGGGCAGGCGAATGCTTCCACAGTGCAGGTGGCTCCACCAGACAAAGCCAGTCAAGCCGGGACCTGCCTTGGTCCTGAGGTGGAGGAGAAGCTGCCCAGACTCCTGGCCCCTGGCCCAGAGCTCCCAGGCGCCCCCGGGTTGTCACCCAGGTTCCTCCGTCCCATCTGCCCTCCCCAGGAAGGGCTCCGAGATCACAATGGGGCCTGCGTCCGTCCGGGGACCTTCCTGAGTCCCAAGGTGAAGCGAAGCCACCTATCTCCCCCTTCAGGCTCTCAGGCTCCCTGGACCCCATCACCTCTCCCAGAACACGGCTCCCGGAGGCCAGGGGGGCCTGGAGCGAGGGTCTGACCACCCCCACCTGCACGCATTTGCCCTTTTTCTGTTAGGAAAGGATCGGAGCAGCTGCTGCGGGCAAAGCTCCCAAACACCCTTCCCGGTGGCCCAGCCGCTGGAGAGGAGCCCGGGCCGCTGCTGGGCTGGGGAGGGGGTCTCACCACCCCACCCGCTCCTCGGAAGGCCTCTCCAGCCCCTAATCTCACCAGAATGCTCCATTCGCAAACAAGCATTTTGGGGAAATTAACCATTAACGAAACCTCCCAGCCCCGTCTCTGGCAGGGCCTCCCTCCGCAGGCCCCTTTCCAGCCCCCTCTCCCGGCCTCACAAGCCCGCGAGGGCCGCTCCGAAAGTCCCCGGCCTCCCAGGACGGGCCTGGGGTGCTCACCTGCCTCCTCGATGCAACTCCTCTCCAGCAAGGCTCTGGGGCCTGGGCTCTGGCACCGCCAAGCAGCAACCCTCACTTACCCCGCCAGGACTCCTCCCCGCCGCGCTCCCAGAATGTGTCCCACTCCCTCCTTCCCGGCCCGGCTGAGCTGGCTCGGTGGGGAGGTAGTCACTGAGCTCCCTCTTGACTTGGCCCTGGGGTTGGGCCCTCGTTAAAGGGATACACACCTTTTTTTTTAACACCCCTCCACCCCACCCCAGGAGGAAAGGTGGGAGCCGGCATTCCGTCAACCCCACCCTCCCAGCCCCGCCTGACAGAGCCTACCTGGTGGAGAGAGGAAGGGAAGGACCGGCACCTGCCCTTCTCACCGAGGTCACGGGAGCTCCGTTTCAGGGGCTCCCAACAGACGTGCTCCGTCTGCATTCCGGGCCCGCGGGGCTGGCCACAGACACCTCCCTGTCCTTGGGATGTCAGGAGGAAGGATGCCTGGTGTGTGCGCTCAGGTCGGAAGGCAGGCACCTGGGCTACCACCTCCAGGTCGGGCCACCTGGAGCCCTCCTGACCCCCATTCCTGGGACTGCTCTCATGTAGCAGGAGATTCCTCTGGAAACACCCTCTAGCCCTTCCCCACGGAACCCACGGCCAGTTCCACAGCCCCGTGAGGGGACGCATTCACCCACTCTGACAGCTCCCGGGCTCTCGCTGTGCCAGGCTCTCCGCTAAGTGCTTTGCATGATGCCTCAGATTATCCTGACAATCCTCTGGAGGACGAACTGGCAATGCCCCCATTGTACAGAGGAGGAGCCGGATACTTGAGCGCAGGCCCACATTCCCAGAGATTCGCATGGAGGCCATCAGCTCCGAATTTGCCTCGCTCATCACCCCGGTTCGTACCCTCTCCTGTCAGAGTGCCAGCCCCTGGCAAAGAGGCGCTCGGCCCTCCCAGAGGACCAGGTCTCCCACCTTTAGGGCCTGGCACCATCCTCAGCCCAAAAATCCATGTGCCACCTGATGGCTCTGCCATTCACCCCAACCACCTTTCACCCATAGACCCAGGGACCCCAGGGGAAGGCATGCAGACACAAGACATCTTAAACTTTTCTCTTTTTATTTTTCTTCTTTTTTTTTTATTAATCAAACGATACAAAACAACCATCATTCTTTACATGCCCAACCACCCAGCTGGTTCTCACTCCCCAAGGTCACACCCTCCTTAGCCTGTTTCCCCCTCCCCACAACTCTCCCACTTCCCCTGCCCTCGTCCAAGGACAGTTTCAGGAGGAGGTTGGAGGCAGCGCTGTAGGCAGGAAGATAAAGTATCAGACAGACCGCTCGTTCTCGGAGACCTTTTTTAATACCAAATATCCAGCCCTATTCCCAGTCCCTTTCAGATCAGTTCCCCAAGTCCAGCTCCTCTCTGCCCAGCACCCACTACCAAATGGCGTGGCCCTGACACCATCCTCACCCCTGCACATCCTCCCTGGCCCCAGCCCGCCCCCCTGAGCCTCCCTCTGGTGGGGATTCCTGGACCTTTTAGCTCCACGGAGTCCCAGGGAGGAAGGGCAGGGACCCTGGGAGGGGCCACTAGGAACCTGAACCTTGCAGAGGTGAGACAGGTGCAGGCTGGGGAACAGTGGGGTGTCAGTCAAGAGAGTTTTATTTCCAGGCCCACAGTCTCTAAGGTCCCCTTTCCCCAGCATCCCCCGCCCCCAAGAATCCCCGGGGAAGGCTTTCAGCTCCCCCGGACCGGCTTCTCCAGCTTCACGCTCTTGGCTGCTTCTCCAATCAGCTCCCAGAAGCTTCCAAACTCCAGTTTAGAGTTGTTGCAGCTGCCCAGGTTGGCGATTCTGTCTTCCAGCCCGCAGTTGTTCTGGGGAGAGGAAAGACACAACAGTTCAGCAAGCAAGCGCCTTCCCATCTTCCTACCCCACCCTGCAAGACTTGAGCCTCCCCGGCACTGGCCCGGGGTAGCTAGTGCCAAGGGCTGTGGCTGGGTGGTGGGGCCGTGGGGCATTCGCTTGGGGAGGTCAGTGTCCTGCATGGGGTAGGGTCACCCCCCTCAGTACCGGCATCAGGTGAGGCAGCTGCTGGGTCACCAGGTTCTGTAGCTCGGAGGGTGTCAGCGTCTCCTTCCCGCCCTCCACCGAGTACTGGTGGAAGTTCTTGATGAGGGTCTCGATGGCCCTCTCCACGTCACTGAATTCCTGGGCATCCTGAGGGTGAGGGACATCACCCACGTCAGGGAGGCCCCACCCCACCCTATGACACCCTGCTTTCCCTGGGAGCCTAGCCAGGCCAACAGGGCAGAAGACACTGGAAGACACCCAGGTCCCACCTACTCCACAGCCCAACATCCAGCCCTCCTCACCCCACTGGCCCCTGCCCTGAGCCACAGGTTGGACAAGGCTTCCCCACCACCACCCACAACCCCCCCCCCCCCCGGGCAAGGCAGGTCTCAGCACGTGGCCCAGGCATCCTCGTCCTGGGAGGCCTCCCACTGCATCACCCTGCGTGGGCACCGGAAAGGGGGTTCGGGTCTCAGAGCCAGGGATCTTGAGGGTAGACCAAGGTCAAGGCGAGAGTGCAGAAGTCAGCAGGGGAACCCAGACCCTCGGGGTAAAGGAGAGGAGTGTGGGAGCAGAAAGACAGGCCAGGAATGAATGGGCCCACCTCGGCATTGGCTGACCGACACTGTCCCATGGTGCCTGGTGTGCTTGGTCCTTGGGTTGAGAGTTGTGTAGTCTACAGCCTGCCCCGGAGGAGCCGATGGCTCATGATCTACGCGGAGGTGAAGGGAAATCCCAGCATTTTTCAACTACTCCCTCAGGCTCCACCCCAGATATTCTGGCCTCATCTAGGGGGTCACAAGGCCCCACCCCCATGCAGGCTGCAGAACAACTCCCAGGCCACCCCATTTAGAGAGAATCCCTTGGACCTCATCTTAGCTGTACTCCTTCCTTTTCCTCCAACCACCCACTTCTGTTCCAGGCACACATACCAGCCTCCAGGGCCTGGCCCCTGGCTCCTTCCCTGGCAGATCAGAGTAGAATAGTCTAAGCATGTCCTCTGGACAGGGGGCAGCCCATTTTGGGTGAAAAGCCCTGGGTCTACTTACCTGCTGACACCTCAGACAGGACCGGATGAGCCAGCTAACCTGAGCTCAGCTCTTATACCTGGGGGAAGGGAGGGGAGGCAGGGAGAAGGGAGGGGAGATGGAGGGAAGGGAAGCGAGGCAGGGGGCTGGGCCTCATCCCTAAGCCACCCCTGCGATTGCAGCTGCCAGGGCTATGAGCCAGCCATGTGGGCTCCACCCTCCATTGGCCAGAGCTCCAGAGCCCGCCCCCGTCTCTGCCAGGAAGAGGGAGCCACAGGGGGCTGGGTCTGCTTGCCCCTGGCCCCAGACCAGGAGGCAGGATTGGGGGGAGGGAGGGGGGGAAGATAGGGGAAGAGAGGTGGGGAAAGGAGAGGGGGAGGGCTTGGAAACACTATAGGGTCGAGCTTGGGAGGAAAGACCTAGAGGGGCTGGAGGACAGGGAGGTGAAGGGGCCCTGAGCTAATAACCAGAAGTGGAGGCTGAGGAAAGCAGGGCTGGCGGCACAGAGGGAATGAGGGACACGTGGGCTGAGAGGTCTTCAGGGACCTCTCTGTACTTTGATGTCACACACACACGCCAGACCCCAGACCCCAGCTTCCTCCGTCCTGGTGGTGGCAGAAAGATGAATGAGGACTGGATGGGAAGAAGGAGCCAGAGAGGGGCAGCCTCAGTGCTGTCCTGACTTCCCTTCAGCTCCCCTCTACCAGGGTGCACATGTGCAAGGCCAGATGAGTTACCTGGCAGCTAACGACCTCTCCAAACTGGTTAAGCCGCCTGCTCCTCCCTCACTCCCTCATGCCTTTCCTACCTCAGTGGCTCCTCAGCAGCCACACACACACACACATACACACACACACAATCCACAGCAACCACACACACACACACAATCCACAGCAACCACACACAATCCACAGCAACCATACACACACACACACACACAATCCTCAGCAACCACACACACACGCACACACGCACACACACACACACAATCCTCAGCAACCACACACACACACGCACACACGCGCGCACACGCACACACACACACAATCCTTAGCAACCACACACACACACACACAATCTACAGCAACCACACACACACACACAATCTACAGCAACCACACACACACACACACACACACACACAATCCACAGCAAACACACACACACACATACACACACACGATCCACAGCAAACACACACACACAATCCAGTCCTGAGGATGCATCCCAGGGAGCAGATCCAGGGACTCAGCCCGACCCCAAAGGCTGTCCTCACCTGATGGGGAGGAGGAAGGGAGAAGGGCAGGGGGTCAGGGCAAGGAGCTCCTGGGCTCCTTTCCTAAATTCTGAGATCAGAGCAAACCTCCTGTTAAAAAAAATAATACAGCCGAAATCGGTTTGGCTCAGTGGATAGAGTGTCAGCCTGTGGACTGAAGGGTCCTGGGTTCAATTCTGGTCAAGGGCATGTACCTTGGTTGCAGGCACATTCCCGGTGGGGAGTATGCAGATGCTGCTGATTGGTGATTCTCTCTCATCGATGTTTCTAATTTTCCATCCCTCTTTCTTCCTTTCTGTAAAAAAATTAATAAAATATATTTTAAAATAAATAATATAATATAATATAACATAATATAATATAATATAAATGGAACGACTTTAAAATGGAGTCCAGGGTGCCTGGCCAGTATAGCTCAGTCGGTTGAACACCGTCCCATGCACCAGGAGGTTGCTGGTCCAATTCCGGGTCAGGACGCGTGTCATATGGATTTTAGGCTCCATACCCAATAGGAGGTGTGCAGGAGGCAGTGGATGGATGTTTCTGTCTCTCCCTCTCCCTTCCTCTCTCTGAAACTTGAAAAACTTTTTTTTTTTTTTAATAGAGTCCAGGGTGCCATTCCAGAGGAACTGCCGTGTTTATCTTACTCTTCAAACCTTTTAAAACTGGGCAAAATAACCTTTGGACTGGGCCTAACAGCCTGTATCCCAAGCAACTGTTTGCAAAGATAACAAGAAAGCAGACGGACAATTGAACACATTCCTTAGAATTTGCATCTCAATGTTAGTTTATTGCACCTATAGAAATTCCTGCCTTAGCTTATTAACGTCACTAAAAATTCCTGGGGGGGTGGGGAACAGGGTGGGCTAGAAGGGGTCAATGGGATCGAGGGGGATATATGTAATACTTCAACAATAAGGATTAAAAATAAATTTCCTTCATCACTCTAGCCAGGTAGTTCAGTTGGTTAGAGCAGTAGTCGGCAAACTGCGGCTCGCAAGCCACATGTGGCTCTTTGGCCCCTTGCGTGTGGCTCTTCCACAAAATACCACGTGCAGGCGCGTATGTACAGTGCGATTGAAACTTCGTGGCCCATGCGCAGAAGTCGGTTTTTGGCTCTCAAAAGAAATTTCAATCGTTGTCCTGTTGATATTTGGCTCTTTTGACGAATGAGTTTGCGGACCGCTGGGTTAGAGCATGTTCCTAATACACCACATTGTAGGTTCGATCCCCTTCAGGGCACATACAAGAATCAACCATTGAATGAATAAATAAATAAATGGAACAACAAATCAAAGTTTCTCTCTCCCTATCTCTCCCTCAAATCAATAAAAATAAGTAAATAAATAAATCCTTCCTTCTCTCCACCTGTAATGATTTCTCTTTCCTTTCTCAAAAATATCCCTAACATCTTGATCGGATTATCTGGGTTTCTGCCCAAATCAGTGCTTCCAAAAGAATGATTCCTCTGGATCTCAAATAAGAGCCTGTCGCCTCACTCTGTCCTTTTATTTTTAGGGGCCCCTTTTAGCCCTCCGCTGTGCTTGTGGCCTCGGTGAGGGGCATCTGTCAGGGTCCCAATGAGGCCCTTCTAAGAGTGTCTCATTCTGAGAGTTCCTCGGAGAGGCATCATTCTGGAGACCCTCTGACCGTCTCTCAATCTGAGGGCGTCCCCAAAAGTTCTCAGCCAGAGCCCCTCCGAGGAACTTTCCGGAAACCCCTCCTAGGATCTCACTGTGGGAGAGCCCTCCAGTGTGGGAGCCCCTCTGGGGTACCTCACAGACAAATGAGCCCTGGCAGTCCCAGTGTGGGGGTCCCTCTCCGTTTGGAGTCCCTTAGAAGGTCTCCATCTAGGACCCTTGCATGGCGCGAGGTAGGAAATGCGCCTCTGCGTTAATAGCTGCCCCAAATGGACGTCTGATGGTAGTGCAGGAACTGCCCCTGCAAGTCCGCACCCACTGGGCTGCCCCACCCATGCTCCCTCTGGTGGCGGGCAGTGCAAGCCACAGGCCACTCAAGCCAAGGACAGAGAGAGGGGCCCCATAGTGCTCTAATGTTCTGCTTCCTGCAGCACCTCTGCCCCCGCTACCCACCCTCAGTCCTCGAACCAGAAGTGTCCACCCTTCTCCCTCACCCCTGCTCTGGAGGGAGCAGGGAGGGAAGGGAGGGCCCAGCGTGTCAAGCACCCATCCAAAGAGGATGCCAGTGCAATCAGAGGCTCTGGAATTCCAATCCAGTTCCACCTGTTCCTGACTTCATGGCTTCACCGCTCTAAAATCTGGTTCTTCCTCTTCAAAGCAGGACTTGCAAATAGAACCGACCTCAAAGGGCTGTGAGAAGTAACTAAGATAAATGCAAGAAAACCTTTAGCACCTGTGTCTGGCACATAGCAAGGCACATAGCAAGCCCTCGGCATATTCACTACTATCCTTATCATCCAAGGACGCAAACCCCAGAGTAAGAAACATGGGAGCCAAGACCATGCCCCTGAGTCCTAAGAGGCACCAGTAGGATCTGAGTCACCTACCCTGCCCCAGAGATCTGTCTCTACCGTTCATATATTCATCCACCATTTACTATTTGTTGAGCAGCCTAACCTGAGCACAAGACCTAGGTGCTAGATGCTGCAGAATATTTGAAGATGAGTCACATTCCCGGTCCTCAAAGAGCCCATCATTTTGGACCCACCCTCAGGTCAGAGCAGAGCTTTCCCACCCCCTAGACTCTAGAGAAGAAACCAGGGTGGGGCGAATAAGAAGGTGCGAATAAGAAGCAGTCATGTGTTAAGGAGAAGGCTTTATTTGGGGGGAGTGGAGCTCTGCCTGGTCCTGCTCATCTTATCCCAGGCAGCCAGACTTCTTCTGAGTCTCCTTCTCCTTTCTGATCTCTTTGGCCAGCTCCCCAATCAGCCTCCAGTACTCATTGAACCGGAGCTCTGAGTCCCCATTCACATCCAAGCTCTTCATCTTCTCATCCAAGGAGCCCACGTCCTAAGAAGACACCAAAGGGAAGGGGGAGGTTAGAAACGATGGCTCTGGAGACAGAGAGGGAAGAACTGCTAATGGCCATTCCCTTCCCTCTGGGAGTGTGAGAACCTGAACCATACCTCTGAGATGAGGCCCCGACTCCAAGGGAGAGGAGCACGGGACGGCGGGGACTGGATTCCTAGTGTTTGCTGGGGTGTCAATACTCCCATCACGGCAGACTATGAACCACAGAGGGTGGATGCACACAGAGCTGGGAAGAGATGCCCACCATGGGCCCTCACCCGCAGGTACACATGGGTTCTGAACACCACTGCACCGGCCCTGGGGTTTGTCCAAGGATATTCGAGGAGCCCTTTAGGCATGGACCCACTCTGATCCTCCTCAAAGCCTCCTCAGGCCACCCTCCTCCTCCACAGAAAGCTGGAGACGGTCAGCACGGTGCTGCTCATTTGCATAAACCTGACGTCTTCTCATTTTTCCACTTGAGTCACCAGCCTGGTAGATTGGGGGTAAGGGGGATGGCAGAGATACAAGGTGTTTTCCTAGAGGGCCCTTGACTAGGTGTCTCCTGACAAGCCTGGGATATCAAAGGATGCTGTAAGCCGGCCCTTCATGATCAAAGGATTTGTTGCCAGATAAACAATCACAACCAAAGAGTGGGCCGCTTAACAACGCATCTGTGTCAAACCAGAGAAGGGTGCCTCAGGCACAGCTTGATGTTAAATACCTGAATCAATACTTGGATGAAGACAGAGAAGATCTGCCTGTTCAATAGATGGCACAAAGCTAATCCGTACAAGAGCTACACAAGACTTTTTGAAAAGCTACAATCATGCTTAATTGTAGAATACTGTAAGCATTGCCAATGGAAGGCAAAGATGCCCAGTGTGATACTATATCGGGAGGGTGAGAAAACATACAATTAGTCAAGAGAAAGAAATAAAAGGCATAATGAGTATTGGGAAAGAAGGGGAAAATTCACTTCTAATTATCTCAGCAATTACATCATTGTAGACCTGGGGGGGCGGGGGGAATGATAATAGCTAACATTTCCACAAGTGTAAGCACTTAATAGTGCTGACTGTTCCAAGCATTATGCTAACACATTACACTCTTTGGCTTCATTTAATCTTCGTAATCTGCTGGAATGAAAGGGTCCATGAGCACAGGGACCTTGTCCATCTTGTTCACCACTGCAATGCCAATGCCTGCAGAATGTCTGGCACAAAGCAGATGCCTGTTAGCCATTGTAACCCAAAGCCTAGAACAGCATCGGGACAGGACAGAATACCGACTGAACAAATGCAAGACCAATCCAACCAAAAACACTATTATGAGTCCATTCCACAGGCGAGAAATTAAGGCTCTGGAAGTTTAAATAACTACCTAAGAATGACAGGCTAGAACCTGCATTTGAACCTAGATTGTCTGACTCAGAGCTTATGTCCTTACTCACTATTCGGTATGTCTACCCTCTCCCCCAAAAAAAGACTCTTAGAAATGATAAAGTATATGATTATAATATTAATACTAAAAAAAAACAATACCTTTAAGGTATATAAATGTTAACCAGTTAGAAAGTATAATAAAACAGATCACATTAAAAATAGTAAAAAAAAAAAAAAAAAAAAAAAAGCCGAAACCAGTTTGGCTCAGTGGTAGAATGTCGGTCTGCGGACTGAAAGATCCCAGGTTTGATTCCGGTCAAGGGCATGTACCTTGGTTGCGGGCACATCCTCAGTAGGGGGTGTGCAAGAGGCAGCTGGTCGATGTTTCTCTCTCATCGACGTTTCTAGCTCTCTATCTCTCTCCCTTCCTCTCTGTAAAAAAATCAATAAAATATATTTTTTTAAATAAAAAAAAAAAATTTTTAAGTCCTAGCCAGTTTGGCTCAGTGGATAGAGCAACGGCCTGTAGACCAAAGAGTCCCAGGTTCGATTCTGGTCAAGGATATGTACCTTGGTTGCAGGCTTCTCCCCGCCCAAGCCCTGGTCAGGCTCTGGCAAGTCAATGTGTTTCTCTTACATCAATGTTTCTCTCTGACTTTCCCTCTTTCTTCCACTCTCGCTAAAAACCAATGGAAAAATATCATCGGATGATGATTAATAACAACAAAAAATAAAGTAAAAAATAAAATAAAGCCCTTAGAATCAATGTAGAAATCTATTTAGGTTTTGTGAAGAAAACTGAACTGAAGGATATATGCAACATTGTGATTTATAAAACATATACATTCGGTCATTCAGATGACTGACCAAAATATAATTCTCATGTATGCCACTTGTGGTCTTCCTCCACAGTTCCTGACTCGGAACTCCCAAAACCTTTGGAATCTCCTAAGCATAGAGAATGATCAAGGTGTCTTGTGTTGTGTTAATGAGGTTAGCCCAGCCACATTGGAAACTGGAGCTCAGAACACGCATTGAATAAAAAAGACTTAAATAAATATAAAAACATACATTTCTTTAGAGAAAGGCTCAATGGTATAAACATGTAAATGTTTCCTAAAATGTATTTACATGATCCCAATTAACAATCTATAGGATTTATTTATTTTTTTAAAATCCTCACCTGAGAATATGTTTACTGACTTTTTCAGAGAGAAAAGGGAGAGAGAAATATCATCGATGGGTTGGTTGCCTCTCGCAATCCTCTCCTATTCACCCAACTGGAGATCTAACCTGTAACCTAGGTATGTTATGTGCCCTGACTAGGAATTGAACCCGATACCTTTCTGCATACTGGCCGAAGCTCCACCCACTGAGCATACCAGCCAGTGCTACAGGGTCCTTTTTTTTTTTTTTACCATGATTAAGTGTTACTAAAATTCTTATTGAAAAATAAATATGTGAGACCCACCAGTAAAAATCTACATAATACGAGAGAACCAGCCCCCTCTCTTTCTCTCTCTCTTTCTCTCTCTCCCTTCCTCTTTCTAAAAAATATCAATAAAAAACAGCTCAGCCTGCATGGCTCAGTAGTTGAACATTGGTTGGGTTCGATTTCCTGTGTGGATACAAACAAGCCTAGGTTGCAGACTTGATCCCCAGTAGAGGGCGTGCAAGAGGCAGCCAAATCAAGGATGTAGGGGATTCTCATCATTGATGTTTCTATCTCCCTCTTCCTTCCTCTATAAAAATCAATAAAAAAATATATTTTAAAATAAGAAATAAATAACATATTGTTGGTTAAGGATTTAAGAGAGAGAGAAAGCCAACTCTACAGGTTATTGTTAGACATATTCTCTACCATTACCCCCTGCTTGTGGCTCTCACCCTCCCTTCGGTTTTCCTATTACTCTCATTTCAGGTTTTGCTAGACATGACACATATTTCAGTTTCCAATAAACTGCCTCACCCACTTTCCAGTGCACTGCCTACACCTGATTAGACTGGTTACTCTAAACTTTACAGGAGACATAAATATCCCGCTTCCCCTATTCTGCCCCTCTGATAACCCTCGGTGCATAAGGGAGACAACCAATCAATGTTTCTCTCTCACATCAATGTTTCTCTCTCCCTCCCTCCCTTCCTCTCTCTCTAAAATCAATAAACATAAACTCGGATGAGGATTTAAAATAAAAATAAAAAGACTCAGGAAAAAACCTTTGACCTTCCCCCTAAATGCCTAAAAGAATTTAAAGAACCTGCTCCAGCCCTAACTGGTTTGGCTCAGTGGATAGAGCATCGACCTGCAGACTGAAGGGTCCCGGGTTCAATTCCAGTCAAGGGCATGTATCTTGGCTGCTTGCACATTCCCAGTAGGAGGTGTGCAAGAGGCAGCTGATTGATGTTTCTCTCATCAATGTTTCTGACTCTCTACCTTCTCCCTTCCTCTCTGCAAAAAGTCAACAAAATATATATTTTTTTAAAATAACCTGCTTCATAAAGGAACTATCATGATAGGTAACTATAGTTTAATATGAATTATGTGTGATAGACAGGGAGGAACCTCTCAAAGCCCATTTGGTAAAAGTCCTCTCGGTATTAAAGATGACCCAGCAGACATTATTTGCCAAACACTTGCTCTTCTGTCTCAATGTGAATTGCCCTCCTGCCCTTTCAAGTCCCAAATCACAATCCTCTCCCCCTGCTCCTTGCTCCGGAATGGCATATTACCCTCTACTCTTCTAGGGCCCCATTTTCTTTCTTTCTTTCTTTCTTTCTTTCTTTCTTTCTTTCTTTCTTTCTTTCTTTCTTTTTTGTTTTTAACCTTCTATTTCCCACAGACAAGATTCCCTGTTTTAATTCCTCTAGGGCCCTGTTTTCTTATGGAACTCCCATGTGTACATAGGTATTAAATTTGGTTAGTTTTGCCGAAACCGGTTTGGTTCAGTGGATAGAGTGTCGGTCTGCGGACTGAAAGGTCCCAGATTCGATTCCGGTCAAGGGCATGTGCCTTGGTTGCGGGCACAACCCCGGCAGGGGTGTGCAGGAGGGAGCTGGTCAATGTTTCTCTCTCATCCACGTTTCTAGCTCTCTATCTCTCTTCCTTCCTCTCTGTGGAAAATCAATAAAATATATATATATTTTAAAAAATTGGTTAGTTTCTCCTCTTAATCTATCTACTGTTAATTTGAGATAGACAAAGTACATGGAAGGGTCCAGTCCTGTGTGAGGGAACGCTAGCCAGAAGAACATTCATTTTTACTCCCCTACAGAGGAGCAAAATCAGAATGACAGGAGGTAGAAGACAGAATGGGAGGCTTAAAATTGAGACTTTGGAAGAGGTGCGTTATTTGGGTAATGACAAAATCTGAAGCCTGAACAGAGGAGTGGAATGCTGAGATGCAAGAAGACAGAATCTTTGGAAATGAGGAATTCTCAAGAAATGGAAAGAGCCAGCTAGATGGAATGTCTCTGTGGATACTAAGGATAATGGCAGTACCAGTGAGGAGAATAAAACAATAAGCAAGGAGCTGAAGAGCTATCGGGTCTAGTACTATTTAATGTCGTTTTTTAACATTCGTTTAAAATCTTGCTTGGCGTTGACTTGTATTGACATAACCTTCAAACATGTGGTATCTACAGAACGTGTGAAGTGAAATTAACAAGTTTTGCTTGAAAAAGTTTGTGTTTGGTTTGGTTTTTGTTGCAAAACTAGGGCTAAGAAGATGGCGGGTGAAGAGCATATTCGGTACTGCATGCTTTACGAGTTCCAATTAGGAAGAAAAGCAAGTGAGGCTGCAAAAAACATCTGTAGTGCTCTTGGTCAAGATGCAGTTAGCGCCAGAAAATGCCAGCGTTGGTTTGAGAAATTTCGTGAGGGAAATTTTTCGTTAGATGACAAGAGTGGTCGAGGCCATGTGTCCAATTTTGATCAAGAAGCTCTTCAAGCTCTTTTGGTGCAAAATCCTCAAATTACCCAACAAGAGCTTGCGATAACTTTAAATTGTTCACAAAAAACAATTTCCAATCAATTGCGTGCACTTGGCAAAGTCCAAAAGTTTGGAAAATGGGTTCCTCATGAGTTGACCGACAACAACCGTAATCAAAGAGTCACAATTTGCAGTTCGCTCCTCTCTCGTCAAAACCGTTTGCCGTTTTTAGAGCAAATTGTTACCGGAGATGAAAAATGGGTGCTGTATGTTAATTTGAAAAGGCGGCCTCAATGGTTGGACAAAAATGAGGCTCCACAGCCCACGCCAAAACCTGACTTGCATGCGAAAAATGTGATGTTGTGTGTTTGGTGGAATTTTAAAGGAATTCTTCATTATGAACTTTTACCATCTAACCAAACCATTACAAGTGCAGTGTATAGTGCCCAATTGGAAAGGTTAGCCCAAGCTTTAAGAGAAAAAGAACCCGCGCTGATTAACTGGAAGGGCGTAATTCTTCACCACGATAACGCACGACCGCATACTGCAAGAATCACTGCTGAAAAACTGCGCCAGTTGGAATGGGAAGTTCTCCCTCAACCTGCATATTCTCCTGATATTGCCCCTTCCGATTACCATTTGTTTCGTTCTTTGCAAAACTTTCTTCTTGGAAAAAAAATTTAATAATGAAGAATGCCTCAAAAATGCATTGACCGAATTTTTTGCATCAAAATCACAAGAATTTTACAACAGAGGGATTAAAATGCTTCCTGAGCGTTGGGCACAAGTAGTAGAAAACAACGGCAACTATATTGTTGATTAAATTTTGTTGTATTGTTTAAATAAATTCGATTTTTAAAAGTATTAGAAAACGACGTTAATTAGTACTAGACCTAATATAAGAAAAAGCAGGTAGTATATGAGCTTCCAATGAGCTGAGCATCTTAGAAAGAAGAAAAAACAAAGATCCGGAAGCAGCGATGAAAAGCAAAGGGTTGCTGAAACTGCGGACTTTTCAGGTTCGTTGCGGGCACATCCCCCGTAGGAGGTGTGCAAAAGGCAGCTGGTCGATGTTTCTCTCTCATTGACGTTTCTAGCTCTCTATCTCTCTCCCTTCCTCTCTGTAAAAATCAATAAAATATATTTAAAAAAAAAAAAAAAAAAAAAAAAGCAAAGGGTTCACGCCTGCATTTCCAGGCCCAGAGGAAGCTGGAATTGGAAGAAAAACCACTTGCTATGTGCCAAGGCTACAGGAGAGGCTGTACTTTCAGGAGAGAATCTTAAGTTTCCTGTGAGAAGAGGAAGGGAAAAGTCTGGGAAGTCTAAGGATGTAGGGGATTTTGCAAATGACAGACCGTGAGTTTCAAAGATCAGTTTGCTTGTTTTTATTTTATTTTATTTTATTAATATATTTTATTGATTTTTCACAGAGAGGAAGGGAGAGAGATAGAGAGCTAGAAACATCGCTGAGAGAAATACATCGACCAGCTGCCTCCTGCACACCCCCCACCGGGGATGTGCCCGCAACCAAGGTAATGCCCTTGACCAGAATCGAACCTGGGACCTTTTGGTCCACAAGCCAACACTCTATCCACTGAGCCAAACTGGTTTCGGCAGTTTGCTTGTTTTTAAACACATCGTCACACACTTTTTAAAAATATATATATTTTATTGATTTTTACAGAGAGAAAGGGAGATAGATAGAGTTAGAAACATCAATCAGCTGCCTCCTGCATACTCCCTCACTAGGGATGTGCCCACAACCAAGGCACATGCCCTTGACTGAAATCTAAGCTGGGATTCTTCAGTCCACAGGCCTACGCTCTATCACTGAGCCAAATCGAACAGGGCATCTTCACACACTTTTAGGTGCCCATGAATTTTCAGAAAGGATGCAAAAGAAACTGTTAGCAGCCTGGGGATAAATGCCTAATCTGTCCAATGAGGAAAGAAGGAACGACCTCGTCAGGCACATGATTGAGGGATTCCCAGGGAAGGTGGGCAGGAAGCACAGGTCACTGAGAGTCTGAGTACATGAACTGGGCTGTGAGTTTGTTGTGTTTTGTGTGTGTTTTATAATCCCCTCCCCACAGCTGGGCCTCAGTCTCCATCATTTTAAATGAGGAGTGTGGACTGGTTTTCTCCCGGCTGCCCAGCTCTGATGGCCTATGGACCTCCTGGCGGGAGCTTTGGGTCCAGTCCTGTGTGAGGGAAATGAGGCCAGAGAGGCACAGAGCAGACACAAGAACCTTACAGCATCTTCTGATGGGAGCACAAAGCTCAATACCACATCCCCTCACCCAGACACAGTGTTACCTAGTCACACACACACACCAGGCAAGAACAGCCAGGACCACTTGCACAAGCAGTCACCTACACTCTTCTCACAACACACAGCATTGTGCCCAGCAACATCGTGTCACATATACAGTGTCCCACCGTCACTGTCTACCAAAACCTCAGGCCCAGAGACCCCTACCCACCTTGAGCAGGTGAGGGAACTGCTGAGTGGCCATTTCCTTAAATTCATTGATGTTGAGGCTGCCCTTCCGGCCCTCTTGCCTTGCAAAGGTGAAGAAGGCGGTAACCAACGTGTCAATGGCTGTCTCCACCTCAGTCAGTGGCTCTGCAGCCATGAGGACCCTGGGGGCTATAGCTGATGTCCACCTGCGGGAGGGGAAGGAAAGGGAGAGTCAGGATAGGTCAGAGTGCCCCTGCCCTGGGTGGCCACCTCAAGCCTCTGTCTGGACAAGACATTATGGGGAAGGAAGGAGGAGACAGGGATGGAGCTTGGGCAGGGAAATACCTCAGTGCAGGCGGGGGAAGGGGTACCCATTTCCAGAAACCCCTTCCTCTCTAGATCTCAGTCCAGGATCCTTTTGTTTTGTTTGTTTGTTTGTTTGTTTGTTTGTTTGTTTGTTTAAATATATTTTATTGACTTCAGAGAGAAAGGGAGAGGTAGAGAGAGAGACAGAAACATCAATGACTGAGAATCATTGATCAGCTGCCTTCTCCACGCCCTCTATTGGGGACAGAGCCTGCAACCTGGGCATGGGTCCAGATCAATATTCCAACCATGACCTCCTGGTTCATAGGTCAACACTCAACCATTAAGCCACCCCGGGTTTTTTGTGTGAGGGAACGCTAGCCAGAAGAACATTCATTTTTTTTGAAGTGCCTGTGCCTTAAGGATGGCTCTGTGGTGGTCCCTCCACCTGAAGACCCTGATCACAGCCCGATGCCTGCTGTCATAGCATCTCAGGGCTTCCAGGCTGAGGGGGAGCCCTCTCGGTCTCCTGACCCTTCTGTGGGGTTCAGTCCCAGGGCCCTTCTTGGAATCTCACCCAACCTCAAAGGGTTAGGAGGCTGTTTGTCTCCAAAGCTTGTTTGTTGCCCTGACTGGTTTGACTCAGTGGATAGAGCGTCAGCCTGTGGACTCAAGGGTCCCAGGTTCCATTCCGGTCAAAAGCATGTACCTTGGATGCAGGCACATCCCTGGTGGAGGGTGTGCAGGAGGCAGCTGATCGATGTTTCTAACTCTCCATCCCTCTCCCTTCCTCTCTGTAAAAAAAAAAAAAAAAATTTAAATATATTTTATTGATTTTGTACAGAGAGGAAGGGAGGAGATAGAGAGCTAGAAACATCGATGAAAGAGAGTCATCGATCAGCTGCCTCTTGCACACCCCCTACTGGGGATGTGCCCGCAACCAAGGTACATGCCTTTGACCGGAATCGAACCCGGGTCCCTTAAGTCCCCAAGCCGACCCTCTATCCATTGAGCCAAACCGGTCTCGGCAAAAAAAATTTTTTTTAATATATTTTATTGACTTTTACAGAGAGGAAGGGAGAGGGATAGAAAGCTAGAGACATCAATGAGAAAGAGAGAGATCGACCAGAATAGAACCTGGGACCTTTCAGTCCACAGACCGACGCTTCATCCACTGAGCCAAACCGGTTTCGGCTATTTTTTATATATTTTAACATATGATTTATATAAATAAATTATATATATATATATAATTATTTTTTTAAATAAGCTTGCTTGTTCAGAGGGGACCTGGGTCATCACCCGCAGGCACGCGGTCTGCCCCTCCCAGCCGTGCAGCCCAGGCGCCCCTCCCCGCCTCCCAGCAGGGCCAGTGCACAGGACCCCCCAGACTCCCGCCCCTGTTTGCGGGTGACAAGGGTCCTGGATGGGCCTCTCCGACTGCCGCCACCCAAGAGGGGTTTCGTCCTGCACCCATAGCGCAGGGGCAGGGAGGCTGGGGGGGACATGCCCTCTCATCCTCCCATTCACTCCCACCCCCCACCCCCCCACCTCTCGGGGCCTGGAGCTGCCTTCCCCAAGCCTCTTCCAGAATCCAGAGCGGCTCCGGGGAGGGGCCTGGGAGCCCAGCGGGGGAAAGGCTCCTCGGCTCCCTCCAGAGCTGGGGGGACACACTCACCGGGCAAGCCGCACGGATGGGGTGCAGCGCGCCGGAGCAGCGGAGCTGAGGTTTACAGGCGCGCAGACTCGGAGGCCGCCGCTCCCACGCCCGAGGTGACAAGTTTCCTGTTGATCCTGGAGAAAGGAGCCGCCCACGGAGCTGTCCCCTCCCGCCCCCTCCCGCCTTGCAGGCAATCGGCCCAGGAACCCGGCTCCTCTCTCCCCCACCCCCGCGCTAGCCCAGCCCACGCGCACACCCCCTTTTGGCAGGGGGGGGGGGGGCAGGGGAGGATCTGCCTGGCCAGATCCCATTCAGCCTGCAGCCTGTGGTCCTGTCCCTCCTGATGTGGGGGCCCTGTGTCCCACCACACTCCCACGTCTCATCAGGAGTGTGTATTGGGGGGAAAAGGGGGACTGCAGATGGAAAGAACCGAATGAGGGAGCTCAGCACTGAGAGGCCCAGTCTGAGAAGCACCCACCTCAGCAGGAGGTCTCCCCAAGGACCTTGTAGCCCATGATCCCCTCCAGAGGATACCAGGCCGAGACCCCCTAAACATGGGATCAGACTGAGACCCCATAGAGGAGGCCCAGGTTCAGTCCCTCTGCGGAGTCTTCCAGGACTAAATTATTCCGTGGGCTCCTCCCCGCCCCTGCCTCGCTGGCCACAGCCAGGTACTGGGGTGAGTGGGGGACACGGAGTGGGGAGGCTCCTGTCCTTCCCAGGACCTTTCCCACTCCCCTTCCTCCCAGGCTCTGCCTCGGCCCAGCCGTGGGGGAGAGGCGCCCCAGCCTGGAAAAAAAGACATAGGGCAGCTTGTTCCAGCCCTGGAGACAGAGGGCGCCTCTGTCCACTCCTGGCCCCTTGCCCCACTGGGTGTCTATCTGTGAAGGGGTGGAGCCGGCGGAGGGGGGTCAGTGGGGGAAGGAGGACTGAAGACAGGTCTCCCTGCACAGCTCCCGCAGCCACAGTTGCAGCCTTGTCTGTCTGTCCAGATCCTGCTCCCACCTCAGGCCCAGGCTGACAGTGAGTATCCTGCCCCATCCAACCCTGGCCAGCTTGGGCCAAGGGACTTCGGCAGAGCTCCACCGGGGACAATGGCATTGGGGTGCGTGGGGGGCCCGGGGGTTGTTTGGATGATAGCAGTTTGGGAATTGGGGGAGTCGGGGTTTGGAGGGTCGTGAGAGGAGGCAAACGCAGGCCAGAGAGGTATCTGGGAACTAGGTGGGCGGGGGAGGCAGCCAGTGGGGAGCCCAGCCACTAAGTTTTCAGGGGAGCAGGCCTTCCAACCAAGGCTCCCTCCATCTCCCAGCTGCTGGGGAGGGGACCCAACCCTGGGCTCACTTCCAGTGAGGTTAGAGAGAGCAGATGGAACAGCTGCTCTGCCCGACCCCTCAGCCTCCGCCTCTGCCACCCCGCCCAGCCGCGACCCAGGGAAGTCTGGAGGTGGCGGGGCATAGACGGTGAGATATCAGGAAGAGGGGGCGTGAGGGGGCGCGAGGAAACTACACCCACCTCCAGTTCTCCCTGCGTATAGCCTCCCATCTCCTCTTTCTTGGCCCAGATCTCCAGACTCCTCTCCTTGCCGCCCCACTCTTTTCTCTTTGTTTTCCCAGGTGCCCCCTCCCTGTCAAGGTCCCCCCTACATTAAATGCCTGGCTGCTCTGCTCGCTCAGAGCCCCAGGTGCCCCTCCCGGAGGGGGCCTGTAACTGAGCCTCCAGCCCTCCTCCCTCGCACGCCCCTTATCCCCTCCATCAGCCGGGCTTGGGTTCCATCTCCCCTGCGTCTCTGTGACAACCGCTTCTCATGTCCCGAGTTCAGGTGACACTCACAAGGGCCCCATTGAAGAGCGGGGCTGTCATTTGATCGGGGCCTATTGTCCAGCCCCTCGGGCCTGGGGCAGGATGGGGACACCTGATCCGAGACACCTGAGCTGCCCCCGGAGGCTGTGAAGGGGCTGACTGTCCCAGGGAAAGAGACCCCGGGCTTGGCCATCTCCTCTCCGGACAGGCCCCTTCAACTCCTCTCTCCCAGCCCCTTAAACTCAGAGGACCTCACACACTCCGCTTTTTATCTCCCCCAGTACATACCAGTGCCCTCTGCCTGTTGCCACCGTCCCCACATCTACCAGGCTGGGCTTGGGGTGGGAGTGGCCGGCAGCAGGGACAAAACCTGCTCAGGGCTCCTCTCCTCTTCCCTGGAAGCTCTGGGTCCGGGGCAAAGGCTCAGACATTCCTCCCTCCCTTCCCACCACTTCCCGAGGGAAGGGGTAAGAGGAACCAGACTAGAGGCGATAGAGACTCACCCCAGGGAGCCCAAGTGCCATGTTCAGGTCAGAACAGAGTTGAAAGACCAAAAAGAGGCCCCCCGTCTGCTGGCAGGAAGCTCAGAGGCAATGAGACCCTCTCCCCATGAACCTGGGGCCATCCACTCGGGCTGGCCCCTTCTCCATCAGGTGTCCTGGGACATCAGACTGGCTCTTTGCCAGGGGTGGGCAGCAGAGTTGAATCTGTAGAGAGGAGCCCAGCTCACTGCCCCCAACCGCAGAGCTTGGCTGTGCTAGGCAGGCAATGTCCAGGGTAAAAATAGAGCCAGAGGGATGCCTGGCTGGGTCCTGTGACCACCCCTGCCTGCCTGCCACACCCTCCTCCGCGTCCGCCCGGGCAGCCAGAGACCTTGCAAAGTCCACTGCAGGCCTCTAGAGCCGCTCCACCATCCTGCCTCCATGCCCCCAACCCTGGCTCCCCCTGGCTGGAGTCTGGATTGAGGGATACGAAGGCGGTCTGGACTGAGATCTGTTTGGGTTCCCCCTGCATCATAACATCCCAGGGAGAGGAACATTGTGAAGGGGCTCCGATCTCAAGGCCACTGGGGCTGTGGAACCAGGGTCAGGTTCCCAGCTCACGTCCATGGCGGGGGTGTGGGTAGGTGAGCTGCGCGATGGGTTCTGAGCTGGAGACGGCGATGGAGACCCTCATCAACGTGTTCCACGCCCACTCGGGCAAGGAGGGGGACAAGTACAAGCTGAACAAGAAGGAGCTGAAAGAGCTGCTGCAGACCGAACTCTCTGGCTTCCTGGACGTAAGCACAGGGTGGGATGGGGGAAGGGGAGGGGAACAGAGTGGGCATCTCCCTGCCATCTCCCCACCCCAGCCCAGCCCAGCCCAGCTCAACCATCTCCTTCCTCTCCTGGTTCAAGCCAAAATGCCCTGATTCATGCATCCCCTGGGCCAGGTCCTATGTCAATACATCCGAAACAAGGCCCACAGTCTAGCAGGGAAAGATTGACCCTCAGAGTAAACCTTGGACACCAAGAAGCACACAGAGCCTTCACAGAAGCGGCAGGAAGTATTACGGGAGGATAGGAACCCAGTTGAAGTGGCACCTTAGAGCCACAGATCTCCAGTGGAGGATTACCAGGGTGAATGTAGACATTTTAGGGGGAGGGGTCTGTGTGAACAAAAGCGTGGCAGAAAGAGCATGCAGCATGCTCAGCGGTTCTGACTGGAGCGAAGGATGCAGAAAAGTGGGCTGGCTCTGACCCGGGAGCTCAGGTGGTGAGAGCGTCACCCCCAAATGCCAAGGGTGCAGATTTGATCTTTGGTCAGGGCACGTAGGGGAAGCAACCAATACAAGCATTCGTAAGTGAAACAGCAAATCAATGTTTTTCTCTCTCTTCTCTTCTCTCTCAAATCAATTAAAAAAAAAAAAAGTAGGCTAAAGGAGAAGTAATAAGTGAAACAACTTTGAGATTTTTTTAATTTTTTAAAAATATATTTTATTAAATTTTTACAGCGAGAAAGGGAGAAGGATAAGAGAGTTAGAAACATCGATGAGAGAGAAACATCAATCAGCTGCTTCTTGCACACCCCTTACCGGGGATGTGCCCACAACCAAGGTACATGCCCTTGAACAGAATCGAACCCAGGACCCTTGAGTCCGCAGACCGACACGCTATCCACTGAGCCAAACCGGTTAGGGCAGCTTTGAGATTTTATTAGACCTGGGTTCAAATTCTGACACTTTCTAGCTGTGTGACTTTGGACACATTGTTTAACCACTAACGGTCAATTTGTTTCTTCTCTAGAGTAAGAATAACGAAACCTGCTTCACACTATTTGTGTGAGGATTGCATTGGACGAGGCTCCTAAACTCCAGGGTAGTGCTTATCCCACCGCAGGGATGTTATTATCACTCTGCCTTGTTGAGGAGCTTATTCTGTGGGCAGCAAGAGACTCCAGGATGCAGTTTTGAGGAGGACAGCAGAAGAGTGCCATGATTAGATGCCGTGCCCCTCTTGCTCAGCTCCTTCTCCCCAGTCACCCACCCCCTTGCCTCTGACTCAGCACTATATACATCTCTGTACAATGATCTCTCTCTGTCTCCTCGATTCGCAGGCCCAGAAGGATGCGGAGGCTGTGGACAAGGTGATGAAGGAGCTGGATGAGAACGGAGATGGGGAGGTGGACTTCCAGGAGTATGTGGTGCTGGTGGCTGCCCTCACGGTGGCCTGTAACAACTTCTTCTGGGAGAACAGTTGAGCAGACAGCCCCAGTGGGCAGCGCCCTTCCCCTCTGCCCTGCCATACCTGCCCCTACACCCTGCTTTCCTTCCTCCCCACCCTCCCCTTCCCATAGCCCCACCTTTGCCCACCCTCCGACAAGGGCGCCAGAGTAGTGGGCCAGACCTGCAACTCGTCTTTCATTAAAGGCTCATCTCTCAACAGCTGCTGTCTGTCTCCTTTGGGCTCCAGACGTGGGTGGGGAAGGAAAGGTGCCTTGTTTGGGGTGGGATCTTACTTAGAGGCCACAGAGTCATTACTCTTCCGATGTGAGGGATTCTCAAGGCAGGGGTTCAAGGTTCCAGCTGGAAGTGAATGAGATGTTAGCTTCTCGGCTATAAAAACCAGAAAAAGAATTTCCCTTAAAAGAATATTTAGAGGATGACCCATGTGCTAGACGCTGTGTAGGAACTGGGAATACAGCACTGAATAAACAGATGGAGTCCAGTAAGGAAGGATGCTACACCAATAAACACATACCCAGAAATGCTAGGAAGGAAAACAAAAGGATCCTGATGGGCACATGTGCGGGTTGGAGAGGGTGGAGGGTTGAAGAAGTGTTCATTCATTCATTCATCAAACATTTGAGCTTTTTGTGTATCCAGGCATTAGAAAATCCCCTATATGTCTGTATCAAAATCCACATAAATGGCAGATGAGGAGGGAAGACCTGGAAGGAAGAACTGGGACTCAAAGATCCCACCAAAATAAGGACTTAACAATATTCAGGTCAAGTTGGGGAGGGGAGAAAGTGAAGAGGAAAATATGAGGGGGCGGGAGTGGTGACTGGAGCAGGATCCAGTAGAGGTGTGCTCCCAACACTAGCCCCCAAGCCTTGGCCGGGGATTCATGGCACTCCACAACTCTCTGGAGAGACCAAATGCTCAGGGGAGAACCAGTGCAAATTGCCCAGGCCCCGTGGTCTGGAAAAAGAGACCCACACAAGTCCCACAAGAAGTTTATTTATTTTTAAGTAATATTTGTATTGATTTCAGAGATGAAGGAAGAGGGATAGAAAGATAGATCAATCATGAGAGAGAAACATCATCAAATGGGCATGGGTCCTGACCGGGAATCGAACCCGGTGACCTCCTGGTTCAGGGGCGGACGCTCAAACTACTGAGCACACCGGCCGGGCCCACGTAAAGAATTTTAAGACGCTCTGCCTTAGTCTGGGGAAGCGAGCAGACGCGCGAGGAAATACGAACCGATTTCCATGGGGGCCAAATCCGCTCCGAGGGGCCCAGATTTTGTACTGACAACCCGGCCGGGAAGAACCTGCAAATGCAGGGCCTTGGCCACGCCCCTCTGCGGGCGAAGCACGGTGAGCTCTCCGAGGAGGCCCCGCCTTCTCTCTCCGGCCCCGCCCCTATCCCCCGGCGCAGGCGTAGCACGAACCTTCCGGCGGGGGGAAGGCCCCCCCCCTCGTCCCCGGTAGTGCGCAGACCTGACGCATGACGTAACTGCGCCGACGCCATTTTAGCCGGTCCCACTCCGCACTGGGCGTGGCGGCCATTTTGTTTGGACACCGAGCGGGAGTTGGTGGCAGCGGTTGTGGTGGCACAGGCGAGAGGCAGGAAAGGGCAGGCCGAGGGGGCAGGGGGACCGGTCGGCTGAGCCCAGCAGCCAGCTAGCCAGCCCACGGCGCGCTGACCGAGCAGCCGACCTCTTAGGCACCTCAGCCCACCAAACACGTCAGCCCGAGCCCCCGCACCATCCACTCAGGTCCGGCCGGCCCCCGGCCCGCCTTCCGCAGCCGCCGTGGCAGCCCCGGGAGGAGCGCTGGCGTCCTTTTCCTTCGGTGAGTGTCTGGGGTGAGGAGGAGGAGGAGGAGAGTCGGGCGAGCGGAAGGGCCGGCGAGCCGGGCGGCGTTGGGATGTGGGAGCAGAGAGGGTGCCGGCGCGTGGGAGCCCGGGGCGCGAGGGGCGGGGCCTCGGGGCGCGAGGCGGGGCGGGCCCGGAATTGGAAACTGGCGGCGGGACTGGCTGCGAGAGGTTGGGGTTCGATACGGATACAGAGGAGAGTTGTTTGGCGCGTTTGAGCAAAGCTGGCGGCCTGGCCAGGACGTGGAGAGGGTAGGGAGGTGCCGTGAGGACTGCGGGGTCTGGGGGAACGTTGGGAAGCCATGGCAGCTTTCAGGTTAAGTTTCACTGAGGGCTCTCTGGGAGCTAACTCCCAGGTGAGTGCCCATTAAGGGAGCCTGGCCCGTCCCCCTCCCTCTCCCAGGTCCCCCAGCCCCTTGGCTCAGGCCCCTTCTCATTTCGGAGCCGAATGCCAATTTTTGAAACTCGATATGCCTGTGTCTCCTCTCTCCTCGGTGGTTCTCGGTTTGGGCTACACGTGAGAAGCACCGGGGAGCCTTTCTTCCCCTCTCCAGTGGCCGATTCCCCAGACCTCGCCGCCAGATAGCGTGGTTTAATTGGTTTGGGCCCAAGTTCCTGCATTTTTTTTAAACATTGTTTAAAGCTCCTTGCAGCCAAGGTCGTTGAGGACTACGCTGGATGAAAAGCCAAACTCTGACACTTCCCGTCTGTCGTTTTGGAGGCTGTGGCAGATATTTTCTGGTCCTTGGCCTTGAAGTGTCTTAGTTTGACATAACTATGTCTGAGAAGCTTAAGCACCTGAAATGAGATTTAGTGTAGTCTCTTAAATAGTCTTTGATACAGGCCTTTTCATTCATTCATTCATTCATTCATTCATTAACTGCTTGCTTTGGGCCTTTGGCCCCTGTAGAAATGAGGTGGTGGTGGTGGTTTCTGATTTGCTCATTCTGTCTCTTTATTGTCCTTTGTAGATCCTCGGGATTTGAAGATGGCTGCACAGTCAGCACCGAAAGTTGTGCTAAAAAGCACCACCAAGATGTCTCTAAATGAGCGGTGAGGCAGCCAACAGCAACTTCAGCTCGTTCATAAGAAAACATTTCTTAAATTGGCCCTGGGGTCCAATGCACAAAAGCCGGTTTTAACACTAAATACCAACAGAAGGCTACAGACCTCTGTTCTTAGTTGCATCTTACTTATGTGGTACACAGAGCAAATAGGGCAGTTGTTTCAAAACCCCTTACCAGTAGCTTTTTATGTTAAGCTGTCTGAAATATTTGTTTGGTGGGATGTATTTTAAAAAGACTCCTCACACCCTTCCTTTTCTTCACAATTTTTTTTTTAAATATTGACACAGGGATGGTGCAGCTTGGTAGCACGGTACCCTGACTGCAGGAGGCTTACTGCCCAGTCCGAGGCCAGCAGTGTTGTGTCTGGCCTGTAAGAGGCGGGTAGCAAGCTGTGAATATGTCCAAAGGCCCTCAGATGCCATTCTTGGGCCTTGTAAGAGGCACTTGCTTTTGCTCCATTTCACTTTCTTTCCATTCTGCTTTTCATTTGTTTTTGTTTTAGATTCTTTTCATTTGTGTTCTTCTCTTCTATCCCATTAAGCATATTTTACAGAAATAATAATGTCTTCACAAACTCTTAAACAGTTGAACTAATCTTTCAGAAGTAGTTGAAGTAAAAAAAGTAATCATTTCAGACTAAGAAAAGCAAAGATACTAAAAGGCAGTTTCTGTCTATGAGAGCTCTGTTCATTGAGAGCCTTTGACCAGTGATTTTAGTAAGTTGATTTTAGAACATGCGTATTTTTGCCTTTTCTGAAGCATATGTGCTTCTTTTCTCTTGGACATACCAATTCTTTATATTACCTAGTGGACAAATACATAAGAAAATGTGATGCACTCCTATAACTTGCATGGGTGCATTATTTCCATGGGCTCTAGTCCTTCCTTATATTTGCCCTTAAAATGCACCCTCAGTTCTCCCAGGGTTTTGACTTTCCTTGTTTGTCTTTGAAGCTACATCTTTTGTCTCGTGTTGTCATCATATCTGCTTACTGCGTGTTTTTCATATCTTTCTCCTCTCTAAAAGCCGTTACTTGAGCCCTTGTTATCACTTTTGATTCAATGTGCTGCACTTAGCTGCATTTCTAAGTTTCTGATTCTTGCAAGTTTATGGAAGCAGAGGAGTCTTTAACCCACATCAGCTTTGATCTAAGTGTACCGCTTTACTTAAAAGTTCGTGGGATCTGGAGTTCCTGGTCTAGCAAGCCATGAAAATGCCAATAAATGTTTTATAATAAAGCTTTTATTTAAACATCCATTCTGTTCGACCTTGAAGCTTTACTAACATGCTGAAGAACAAACAGCCGATGCCAGTGAATATTCGGGCTTCGATGCAGCAACAGCAGCAGCTAGCCAGTGCCAGGAACAGAAGACTGGCCCAGCAGATGGAAAACAGACCCTCTGTCCAGGCAGCGTTAAAGCTTAAGCAGGTGAGAGAATGAGTCTAACATTCCAGAAGCAGCTGGTGATTTCTGCCAGGCGGTTCACCAAGACTGTCAGGAGTGATACAAGGTGGCTCAGGGCAAAAGCTGAAACTTCTCTAGAGAGAATTCCCATTTTGGCAGGTACCAATAAGTAACTTTGTTGTCTTTCTCTCTTTTAGGGTGTGTGCCATCAATGTGGCCTGTTTCTCTGTTATCACTGAGTGCTAATCTCTTGTTTTCTGGTCCTTTGTCCTTAAAGTAAATTCACTGGCTTTTTCTACAAAGAAATTTTGATTTTTAGATGACCTTCGAAAAATCCTTTATTCCCTGTTAAATGCTTTACAAATCAGGGGAATACTTTTATTCTTTCTCCCCTAGTCCAGGAGTCTGAATGGCCTCAGTCAGTGCTTTCAGTGTGGAAATATAGAAATAGTAGGATGACCCTCGTCCCCACAGCACCTGCATTTTTATCAGAAAGCCCAGCAAGAGCACTGAGTAATTTAAAAGTTAATGGTTTGCTTTCAAATTTCCAGTAAGAGATAATCCTATTCAGACCTGAAATAAAAACCTGCTCTTTATTATTCATAGACTTTATATGCAAGTCCGGACAATGGCTGTGGAAGGATATGTCCAAGCTGTGGCTGGGCGTCTGGAGGGCGGTGCCATGCAACTGTAAGGACTAACTGGTAGCACTGCATGGCTGTGCATAGATTCAGCAGTTAAATATAACACCACCCCACCCAGAACCATTGGGCTCACTGACCAAAAATAAACAAGGCTTTCTGCTCCGCTACCTTAAGCCTTGGAGTGGCTGCGTTCGTCCCTGACTCAGGAAAGCAGCAAAAGGCACCACCATTTTCTAGACGTAAATATAAAAAATTGCTGAAGACCAGTCTCTTGACAGGTCATTCCGAAGGCTCTTTCAGCAATAAGCTTTAGATATAGGCTGTGCAGAAATAGGCTTTAGAGTGGCACTATCCACTCTAAAGTAGTAAAAATGATGTTCTGTGTGCTCTCCAATACGGAAGTCCCTAGCCACATAAAAAACGTGCTTAGTGCGATTGAGGAGCTTAGTTGGTTGGGGGTGGGCAGGTGTTTCTTTGTGTTTTCTGTTTTTAATTTTATTTACTTGAATAGCCACATGTGGCTAGTGGCTACCTTAGCGTACAGCATAGTTCTAGAGTAGAAACGGGTGATAGAATGGAGACCCTTAAGTTTCCTGTCAATGTTAGAGACCAGTATTGGTGGCAGGTAAGGCTTGGGAAGGGAGAACTAAGTACTGTACATTCTCCCTTTAAAACACAAATCTTGGGAGAGTATTCTCAGGATGCCTGAACAAAATGACATGTAGAATGAAATCCTGACCTTAAAATAGTATGCAGTCAGGAGAGCGATGTCATGGGCTTTTATGATTGGTTACACCTGCTCACACTAGGTGCATAATGTTCAAAGCCTGACCCTCTGATTAGAAGCAGTTTATGATCTTGTGCTAGAAAGCTAATAATAACTCTGAATTATGGTTGGGGGAAGAAAAAAGTAATTAGTAGTGGCTTATGGGTGAAGCCTAATGATACATAGAATTTATTTTCATTCATATTGACTGATGGCTTTCTAGGGAAACAAGTTTGCCAAGGTCTTTGTGTTCAAAGCTACATAGTTACATTTTTCTTTGAAGGAATTTAATTCTTTGGTATGTGGTCTTCATAATTTTTCTTTGAGGGAGGGATTATTGAAAATCTTTGTCTCTGATATGTCTTTGTCCTGGAGTGTGTGCCTGAGTTTTGTGATTATAGCTCACCTGTCTTTATTCTGATGCAAATTTGGCCTGTCTCTCTCTGGAGATACACTTGAATTATATGTTTATTTTTAATTAAATGTCATTATACTAGTTTAATGGAGCTATTCGCAATGGAATTAAGGCTATTTAAGAAATTAAGAAAATGTGGTTTGACTTTTTTTGTGTTTATTTACATCTTAAGGTAAAAAGTGGACCATCTGGGGATATATACTCAGAAAAAATGGAACACAGTGGCCTTTGAGAAATCAAATGTTGTTCTTAAGTCTTAAGAATTCAGATGAACTTTTAATTTAAATTTTGCCCAGAGTGTGATGAACTTCCTGTGATGTTTGAGTAAACCTTTGAAGACAGTGGTAGTCCTTGGGCAAGTATTAAGTCATATCATTATCAGTCTGTGATTTAAAAACAACACAATCAGGATTTGGAATATAGTGTTCTTACCAAAACTTAAGTTTCAAGTCGTGGTGTAAGACTTTTATAGGCAAACTAGCAAGGTAATTTGTTGTAATGCCAATTTCATAGCACCATTCTCAAGCTTCTTAGAAGCTCTGGATCAGAATTTTGCCTTTATGTCATGTTCTGAGGCTTGCTTCTAGTTTAACATCCTTATGACACCCACAGCAGGTTTATCTGCCTCCACATAGTCATCTCACTCACTGCTTTTTCTCTGCACTTTGAGTTACCAAATCCCACTGGATTGCTTTTTTGATCTCAATCCCTCAACACCTTTCTTCCAGAAGAGCTTAAAGCAGCGCCTGGGTAAGAGTAACATCCAGGCTCGGCTAGGCCGGCCCATAGGGGCCCTGGCCAGGGGTGCAGTCGGAGGACGAGGCCTGCCCATGATCCAGAGAGGCTTGCCTAGAGGAGGACTGCGTGGGGGACGCGCCACAAGAACCCTACTGAGGGGCGGGATGTCGCTTCGAGGTCAGTGCTGTTACCTGATGATTGTCGAGCCCCACCCCCTTTCTTTTTCTCTTGGGCTGCTTATGGACACATTTGTTTAACATCTTTAAGCCTGAATTTGTATTAATAAAATTAATAACTTGATATCACATATTTTTAATAGTGCTGCATGTCCTTTTATCAATACCATTTCTTTTCTGATAATTTGCAATGATGAAATGCTATGACCTGCGTAACAACAGGTAATTCATGTCATCTCCATTCCATTTTAAAACACCCTGCTGCTGCTTGAATCAAAGCACATCCAAGTTCTAGAAATAAGTCAAGTCTTAAGAAATGTATGGGTCTGTTGGCCTATATGTTAACCAGTCATCTCTTTTCCTGGTGCCAGTGAAATACTGTTATATCTATAAAAAAGAGAAGACAAGTTGACCGATAGCACTTAACTAACTATACATATACACTTGGGGCACTGTTCCCTGTAGAGTGTATTGAGAACAGGAACCATATCCTTTATTTGTAAATTTATCGTAATGTTAGGTGCCTATCTGATTATTCAATAGATATTTATTAAATGTACATACTTCCTAATTGCCTTAACTCCTCCCAGCTTCTTCCCAAAAATGGATTTTTGGTCAGACTTGTTGAATTGATTGAATAAAGAACATCTTAATCTGTTCACATTCCATATGCAGCTTGCCCCACCCAACCTAAAAATTTCCTGAATTAACTTATTTAACCTTTCCCACCTTCCTTTGGTTAGAATCTACTTTGTCTCTCTTGGATTTACCTGCATATACATTGTATGCCTCCTCTCTAAGGTCAAAACCTGCTCCGAGGTGGACGAGCCGTAGCTCCCCGAATGGGCTTAAGAAGAGGTGGTGTTCGAGGTCGTGGAGGTCCTGGGAGAGGGGGCCTAGGGCGTGGAGCTATGGGTCGTGGCGGAATCGGTGGTAGAGGTTAGTCAGCTACCAACTTCAGAGAATAGCTCCCTCTTACTTCTCTCCCTTTAAAACTCAGAGCCACTTTTCTGCAAGCTTCAAGTCCTAGGCAGGCTTATTTGTTTGTCTTGTTTTGTTTTTTGAAACTGGCTTATTTTTCTCAATGCACATGGTGGTAGTGCAAAAGTCTGTCATGGGTTTTCTAAGAACTAGTCAGGTGCATGTTATAGAGCCAGGTTATGTGTGCAGTCTTCCAGACTCCTGTGAATTTAAATTGTATTGTTAAAATGACAAAGTGGTCAGTTTAGGGTTTTACCTTTCTCTGTCCCTGCCCCACCACCACACACAACACACCCCATAATTCAAAACCCCTCTTTTGAGTCTAAAAATCTAAAAGAGGAGGGTGTACAAAAATGAAGCAGATTTAAAGATAAGGATGAGATCTGGAACTGGGTATTGACTCTAAAACCAAGTAAATTCAAGGTAAAGTTTGTGTCTGTGGGAAACCAGAGATGACTTTTTGAGTCCGTTTATTAAAGCTGGGGACCGTGAAACAAGGAAGGGCCTAGGATAGAAGAAGCAACAAAAGGGGCCTTGGAGACAGGCTCAGGGGGTTAGCCCAGGACCACATGTTCCCCTGGTGGCAAGCCTCATGGGGAATTTGGGGATGCACACCTGTGGAGGAAAGAAAGGGGTAGAGCTTAGAGCTTGCTCCCAAGAGGTAGAAAGCAAGGATGGTATTTTGTCAGTTAACTGACTGACTCATGTTTGATAACAATCTTACCTTTGAGACTCAGTGATACTTGTCTTGTGACCTCTTGACCCAGATTGGAAGGGTTTCATGGTGTTGGCTGTTAAAATGCCAGATCTCATGGGAATTTTCTGTCTTAAAGTTTGGTGGAAAATTCCCAACATCTGTCAAAGAAAAAGAATTTTTACTCTCTTAGTTTAATCCTGTATATATTGGCTTTGGTCCTTTTTAAAGTGTGTGGTGGGTCCATAATTTATTACCTTAACATTGCCAAGGAATAATAACTGTTAGGAAAGGAAATTTGATAACTGAGGGCTTGTTTTCTTCTCGCCTGTTATATGTTGTTTGGCTTATTGAGTGAAGTGCAAGATAGTTTGGGTTTCAGGATGAAATCACAAGTTTCCAAATTATCTTGACTTGGTTTCTGAGCAACAACACAGGGGTAAGAGAGTCAAAGTCTTAGCTAGGTATGTTTTGTTAGGTGAATTGAAACTACCTCTCAGATAACCATAATTGTTATAAGTATCTAGAATAGCAGATAAAGTGGCTGAGACTACTCAGGATGTTTTTTCCCATCTCCCCACATTGTTCGTATGTAAAAATAACTCCTCAGCCCCCTGACATAGGGTCAGCTCTTTAGGTCTTTAGGTTTGATAAGTTTGAGGAGAGATAAGCTAATTTTCCAGAACGATCTCAAGTAAAGCTTAATTTGAAAACTGTCTAGCTTCATACCCCTGTTGCTCTGTGCCCTTATTACTTCCTCCCTTTCTTAATAAATGAGTTTATCTGTAATGTATTTTAATTATGAACTTATAGTAGGACTCAAAGTTGAGATAATTTATTTAGGAAAGAGTAAGAAAAATTATCTGTTTCCCCTTTATTTTTAGAATAAAATTTTAAATAGCATTTAGAGATGAGCATATAATAAGGGATTCATTATGTGTGCTTTCCATGTGTTGCTTGCTACCCACTGTATTTCCTATTTTTCCAGATTTCTCCTCTTTGCCCTGCCCTTCAGCCTCTCAGCTAGGCCCCACTGCTCTGAGGGGCATTTACTATAATGCCTGTTAAACCTACTTGTAACTGTCTTTTTTTTCCCTTGGGCCAGGTCGGGGTATGATAGGTCGGGGAAGAGGGGGCTTTGGAGGCCGAGGCCGAGGCCGTGGACGAGGGAGAGGTGCCCTTACTCGCCCTGTACTGACCAAGGAACAGCTGGACAACCAGTTGGATGCATACATGTCGAAAACAAAAGGACACCTGGATGCGGAGTTGGATGCTTATATGGCACAGACAGATCCTGAAGCCAATGATTGAAGCCTGCCTTCCCTCCTCTGAGAGACTCTTGTTAAAAAGTTACCACGTCTGTAAATAACCTTGAGATAACAGAAGAGAAGAGCCTGATTGATGCTGGAAGGACCTATCACAATAGACTATGGACTTACTCGCCATCAGTTTGTGCATTTAGTGTGTTCCTTTTACTTTTTTGATAACTGTATTGTATGAAACCTTTTTCCTCTGACTTGGGTTTGGTTTCGTTTTGTTGTTTGGATTTGTTTGTTTTTTTCCTTCTCCCAAACTTCTCTTTGAACATGAATATGTCGGCCCTTTTTCCACCTCTGCCTCCCCTCACCTGCCACATATGCTTTGACTGTCTAACCTTTCCTCTGTTTGTCTCTCTATCCTCTGAAAGTCCCAGAAAGAATCCATTCAGGGTTCCTCCCTAACGCCTAGGTATCTGTGATACAGTTCTGTTCTATATCACTTTAATAGTCACTTAGAAGTGGTTAGAAAACCTGGAGTTCACAAATGCATTCTGCCACGTTGATGTTTTAGTATAGTAATTTAGCATTGGCCTACCTATTAGTGTCACACTACAGGTTATACGGGATAGCAGCTCTCATCTGATAGAAGTTGCTACCATGTGCACTGATACCACATAAGTGAGCTGGTTTTGGTGTGTGCATTGTTTCTACCACGGAATAAGATTTGTAAACCTGCCTCTTGGCTTTGCATCACATCCAAAGGGGTGCTGTTGGGCTGGCTTACACCTGCAGTAGAGGGAAAGGCCATTGAGTAAGCAGATGCTTCAGAAGGGATGGGAGAACTATGGCAGATACTGCTGGGGAAGGGTCAGAAGATACCCATGTTGAATGTAATTCTTAGGTTTATCCCAAACCAGTCTTGGGCTTTTTCATACATTGGCTTTGTTTGACCCACTTATTTTTCTTGAAGGTTTGTAAGCTCAACCATGTTCTGTCAACTGTTCCAGTTTCAGTAGAATCTTGTATTTATGGTTTATTATAACAAGAAATTGTTCTCTCAAATCCAGCTAGGACTTTTTATTTGTTGTGCTCTTGGAAATGCTATGGCTACTGTAACACTACCTTAATATACCCCTTGTAGAGCTGAGTCCTTCATAGTTGTTAAAATTCTTGGGAGGGCCCTAGCCGGTTTGGCTCAGTGGATGGAGCATCAAACAGACCAAAGGGTCCTGGGTTCAATTCCGGTCAAGGACACATACCTCGGTTGCAGGTTCCTCCCCTGCCCAGGTCCTGGTCGGGATGTGTGCAGGAGATAACTAATCTTTATGTTATTCTTATCAATATTTATCTGTATTTCCCTTTTCAACTCTCTGAAAAATATCCTTGGGTGAGAATTAAAAATAAAAAGACAAATTTTTAAAATCCTGGGAAGAGGGTATTGTGGCTTTGGGTCAGAAAAGGAAGAATCTGTCCACCCCTGAGTAAGTCTTGCAGAAAGATTAACCACACCAAGTAATGTACTGACCCGTTTGGTCCATACAAAGGTCAAGCAGTATCCTGGAACCCAGCACTGGTTTTCCTTTTTCTCTGTACTGTTGAAGGGAAAATAATCGAACCACCTCCAGACAAACCAATTACCATTGAGCTACCTGGTGCCCTAAACTGTTGGGAGGCTGTGTTCATTGCATGGTGGGAAGGAAATTTTGATCAGGACATCATGAACTTGAATCCTGTCCGTATGACCTAAGCTATTTTACTTAACCCCTCTGTGCACAAGTGGTTTAGTTAGCTGTAGAGGGAGAGGTTGAAAAGATCACATGGGGACAGGATCTAACCATGCTAACAATCAACCTGACCTGGATTTTAATATAATTCTTCTAAGAATGGGCTGAAGCAAGGTCTTCAACCCAGGCATTCATAATCTTTAAAAGGAATAAAAAGCATTTTTATGTGGATATGGATAAGTGTAAGAATATCTCCATTGGCAACCCCCAAGACCCCTGAGGGAGGTGTTGATCAACAGTGGGCAGCAAACTTCACATCCCCTGATTATTGCCTTGCATCAGGCACATCCCAGGCAGGGTCTAGGAAGCCTTTGGGAAGAGAGGAAGGGGGAGATGCAAGATGAGTGGGTTACTTACCCTCTACATACAACCTGGGATGACCTAGGATTTTTCCTCAGCCCTCCCCCAACATAGCTAACAACTATATTCCCCCAAAATGACTTTTTACCTAGAACTTGTGCTCAGGATATATATTCTTTCAAGCTGGTGACTTTTGAGCCACCTCCAATAATACAACCCAATACTTCCTCTATGTAGAGTGAAAGGTGAGAAGGGGTACTTGGTAGAAACAGAGGTGAAGGCCGCAGTCTTACAGTGTCCCATTTCAACTCTGCAGCTCACACACCTCTATGCTCATGCCCATCTTCCCTTATTTGGAGCTGTCCCCAGACTTGGCAAAATTTCCAGGATAAAAACTATGGAAGGAATCCAGAAGTGGGGAAAGAGGCAGAGGGTGGCAGCAGGTGCCTCCCATCACCACCCCCTTCATCCACTAATGGAATTCCTTTGAGGAGGTAATCTCAGGACAGAATCCCTGGATGCCTCAACTCCCTGGGCTAAGGAGGAGCAGTTGGGGCTAGGAAGCTTGGGTCCTTTGAGAAAGGAACCTCCCAAGGCACTGGATGTACCTTAGTCGCTCTCTCTCAGCCTCTTCTAGCTCAGGGTCCCCCTGCCCAGAGTGCTCCCAATCCCACCACATTCTGCTGACTCATTGTTCTTAGTACCTACAGTGTCTGTTCAAAAGGATTTGTTCCATGTCCTCTACACTCTTGGCACTGGCTCCACTGGGCAGTGCAGGGAGCTAAGACCAGGTCGGGCCTCATTTCTAAAATCAAATCTTGACTATGAAAATGTTGATATTTCCTGGTGTTCAAGGGACCCTGAGGCATTCTGGTGGGGTGAAGGGTGGGGGCCTTGAGGGTCCCAGTGGAGCCTAAGCTCCCTTCTCTTTCTGCCTCTTGTATTCCTCCTTCATTCCCAATAGTGGGTACAAGGAATTCCCCTATAGTCACAGGCTCTCTAGCCCCACCTGCTGCTCACTGCAGTTCTAGCATCTGAGGCTTGTGTCCCATTTCTGCCATCCTCTGTCCCTATTGAGTGTCCCCGATAGTGTGGGACCTGGAGTCAGCCTGGCTCCTACGTCAGTCTTTTACTCATTCAGCCACCATCTGCAGAGGACTTGCCATGCAGACACAAGGCATTATTTGTTAGAAGGGCACTGGGTGCATAGAGAAGAGAATGACAAACTGGATCTTGAAAGTCCTAGGAAAGTTTAACAGACAAGGAAGAGTATTCCAAGTAGAGGGAACAAATACAAAGGTATCCAGACCTGAAAGAGCATGTGGTAGGCCAAGGAAAATGTGTGTTAGTGGAAACAGGCCCAGGAAGGCTCTGGGGACTGTGATGGTGACAGCAGCCACCATGGCCCTCTTACCTTGTAGGGCTGGCAGGCTAAAAGGCCTGTGACAGCTGAGGCTTCATGAAGCCTCTATTTTTATTAATTTTTTAAAATATATATATTTTTTATTTCAGAGATGAAGAGAGAGAGAAACATCAATGATGAAAGGGAGTCATAGATTGGCTGCCTCCTGCACGCCCCCCACTGGGGACTGAGCCCACAACCCTTGACCAGAATCGAACCTGGGACCCTTGAGATAGAGCGTGCTGGGGCCTCCATCCTAAGGATTTTAAGAGTGAAGATTTTAGGGGAGTCCCAGGGAAATATCTTAATGGAAGTTAGCAGTTTTCCAGGTGTGTCCATTCAGTTGTGGTCTCCACTGATTGATTGGCCAGCACTAGGGCAGGGGGTTATTATTCCATGCATCTAGTCAGACACCTGACGTCAGCAGGGGTTGGTTTTGTTGCTTTTCTGCCTGGAGCTGAAATGCAGCTGAGGCCTAGATGTTATCTCTGGAGAGGAAAGGTCAGGGAGTCCTAACTTCATGGACCGGGGATATGCTAGGGGAGAAAAGGTCACCCTGGAGGTGAGGTCCCACCCTACAATTACCCATTGCTAGGCACATGGGGCTTTCCATCCTGGTGACCTTCTGTACCTGACCCCTGTCCTTGCTCCGTTCATGTCTAAGTGCCGACAGCACAGCCACTACTGCTGCCCCTTTCAGTTCTGCCATTGAAACATTGTAGAGCTCCCCACACAAAGTTCTGATCTCCCAGGAGTCAGGGTGGACTAGGAAATCCTTGTCCCTTCCTGCATCTAACAAGTCTTTCTCTCAGGTCTCCTTCCCCAGTTAAAGCCACCACCAGATACCATTCTGTGCCCACTACCTACCACAAGAAGAACTCTTGGATAACTGACCGCCCTCTCTGCCCCATTCAGTGGGTATAGGGGTGCAACTAACCTGTCAGACAGAGGGTACTGTGTGTGGCTGTATTGCCTGAGCCAGAACAGCTGTTCCTACAGTTTCCTCACGGACATATATCCCACTACCCACATTCAAATTGCCAGCAAGGAGGGGGCAGGTCAACCTAAGCACACCCAGGGGGTGAGGAGATGGGAGACAGAAGAGAAGGGGAATTCTTAAGATCTCTTTCAGCCTTTATGCAAAAGCCAAGGACTGGAAAGCCACTGCAATGTAATAGGGGTGCAAGCCAGGAGGAGGGGGATTTTGTGCTGAATACCTTGAGTCATGATGCCTGGAATTTGATAAATGTTTAGAGAATAAATAATTGAACCAGCACTGGCCTTCAACCTGTTATCAAACTTCATGGTTTCTGGAAGACCCTTGCCCAGTTTTCCCCACCGAGATATCCAAGGAACCAAGGAAAGGATTCTAAAATTCCCTTTCATCTGACTGGTATTTTAGAATGCAGAATAATCTGGCAAGTAGAAAGACTAGAGGCAAGATCAGGAGGCTGTTGCAATGGCTTCCTGAAAGATAAAAGCAAGTCAGGATGATAAGGAGTAGAAAGGAAAACATAAACCAAAAGTCATTTTCCTCAGAGAACCAGCTTCTTTTTTTTAATCTTTTTAATTAATTTGAGATATATATGTTTTGTTGTTGTTGTTAATCCTCACCCGAGGATATTTCTCCATTGACTTTTAGAGAGAGTGGAAAGGAGGGGGAGGAAACACAGAAAAACATTGATTTTGTTGTTCCACTTATTTATGCATTTATTGGTTAATTCTTGTATGTCTCATGGGGATTAATCAATCCTGCAACCTTGGTATATTTCGAGGATGCTCTAACCAACTGAGCTACCCAGCCATGGCTAAAATATTTTTTTACTGTGGCAAAATGCACATTACACAAAATTAAGCACTTTAACCATCTTTTTAAAATTTATTTTAGAGAGGAAGGAAGGTGAAGAGAGAGATGCAGAGAGAAACATCAATGTGAAAGAGATACAACTATCTGTTGCCTCTTTTTTTTAAAAAAAAAAAAATATATATATATATATTTTTTTTTACAGAGAGGAAGGGACAGGGGTAGAGAGTTAGAAACATCAATCAGCTGCCTCCTGCACACCCCCCACTGGGAATGTGCCCACAACCAAGGTACATGCCCTTGACCAGAATTGAACCTGGGACCTTTCAGTCCGCAGGCCTACACTCTATCCACTGAGCCAAACCGGTTTCGGCTATCTGTTGCCTCTTGGTATACGCCTGACCTATTGATGTTTTTTCCTCTTCCCCTTTCCCCTCTAAAAGTCAATGAATAGCCCTAGCTGGTTTTGCTAAGCAGATAGAGCACATGCTGGGGACTGAAGGGTCCCAGGTTTGAATCCAGTTGAAGGGCACATGCCCAGGTGGTGGGTTTGGTTCCCAGTGGGGGGGCATGCAGGAGATAATCAATCCATGATTCTCTCTCATCATTGATGTTTCTCTCTCTCTCTCTCTCTCTCTCTCTCTCTCTCTCTCTCTCCCTTTCTCTCTGAAGTCAATAAAAATATATTAAAATTAAAATAATAAAAGTTAATGAACGAATCCTTGGGTGAGGATTTTTTTAAAGTGTACTGGTAAATTTAGAAATATAAAACTGTACTATGAATGTAATCTGGTTTTCTCATAAATTAGGCTAAGAAGGCTATGGCCAACTAGGGATTTAAGAATTAATTTTTCAATAAAAATAAAAAAGATATTAAGGAAAATAATAATAAAAAGAAGTTTCACCTTTGGAGAAAACAACAAGTACCCGTCTCCCAAAATTATTCCTTCCCCTAAGCTACTGAAGTCTGGAGATTTTAAAAATCCGCACCTTCAAGGCCTATAAAGAACTACAACCCCCAGAGCGTTAATGGCCCCGGCCTTCTCCCCGCCCTGCGGGCTCCAGAGACTCCATTTCCCAGAAATCCCGGGGGCTGAGCGGAAGCCCGCCTTACTCGGGCGCCCCCGCGCGGCGCACTTCGGCAGGGCTTCAGTTCCCGGCGGCCCTCGCGGCACGTTCCGGGATAAGGGTAACTCATGATGGCGGGGGCTGGTTCCACCACTGTGTCCGGGGCAGGGACGCCGGTGGCGGGGCCCGTAGGCCGCGACATCTTCGCCGAGGGGCTCCTCGAGTTTCTGCGACCCGCTGTGCAGCAGCTCGACTCTCATGTCCACGCAGTCAGGTGCCCGAGAGGGGAGGTTGGGCGGGGCCTCTCGGTTTCTGGTTCTCGTATGGGGCGGGGCCAAAAAAGGGCGGAGTCCAGACGGGTTGCTGTCAGGATTCTGATGGGGCTAAGAATATGGGGAAACTGCAGGCTGCACGGAATGGCCTCCGGGTGCGGGGGTGGGCGTGCGGCCCAGTACTTGGGAAACACGTAGGGGAACAGGTTTCTTGAGTCCATTGATTGATTGACCCTGTAGGTCTTTTATTTCTTTGCAGAGAGAGCCAGGTAGAGCTGCGGGAACAAATTGACAACCTAGCTACTGGTGAGTAAGCATCCCTGTGTATTCGGAATCCCTCAGCTTGCTTTCAGAACCTTGTTTTGCCGTCCCTCCTCTGGGCTGAGGTTCTGTCACTTCCTTGCGGCATGGCAACGCTGCCTCAGATTCCTGTATAAGTTTCTCGTGACTATGGTCCTTGTGGTGCAAGGGTGTTTTCCTCCTACTTCGCCAACAAACAAGAAATGAGCCAGTAGGTATTAGTTGCACCTTACATTACACCCACAGAGCTGTGCCGTATCAATGAGGATCAGAAAGTGGCCCTGGATCTCGACCCCTATGTAAAGAAGCTACTTAATGCCCGGCGACGAGTTGTCTTGGTCAATAACATTCTACAGAATGCCCAGGTAAAAGAATTTCCTACCAACAGTGATTCTTTGCTCTGCTTTATATGCTCTCAGTGTATATCTCCACTTTTTAAGAGATGTCTCCCATCTCCAACTCAATGAAAGTCATTCTTCAAGTCTTTGGGGTTAAGGGAGTTGTCAACTAAATTAGTGTAATACTAGAACCGTTTATTCTTTATTTCTTTAAATTCTTTTATTGATTTCAGAGAGGGAGGGATAGAAACATGGATGAGAATCATCGATTGGCTGCCTCCTGCACACCGCAGTGGGGATTGAGCCCACAATCTGAGTATTTACTGGGAATCAAGCCATGACCTCCTGGCTCCGAAGCTCAACCAGAGCCACACCAGCTGGGCTAGAACTGTTTATTCTCAATACTTGGTGGCTTATTTACATTCTTGTATACCTTAGAAGACCTACATTGAGATGGAGCCAGATATTTTACAGTGCCCAGGTAACAAGTGAGCTCTAAAGCCTTCCACAGAGCAGTTAAGATTATAAATTTGTTTTATAGGAGCGGCTGAGGCGGCTAAACCACAGTGTTGCCAAGGAAACAGCCCGAAGGAGGGCAATGTTGGATTCAGGAGTTTACCCCCCTGGGTCCCCAAGCAAGTAAGAGAAGATGGGCCTCAGAATACCTCAAGTACTGTTTTCCACCTGCCTCATTTCCTCCAGGACACCTTATAACCCTGAGACATTGATAATCCTATGGATTGTGTTTGAAACAGTCGTACCCATTTATGTGGGGGTCCACAGAAATCTCTTTAGCAGGACTCCAGATCCCAAAGGATTTATTCCAGCTCTTACTTCCAAGAATGAGCAGAGACTCTTACATTTTTTAAAGGTACATTCTCGAGTTCCTAGTTAACTTTCTTCAAATCTAGTTAACCAGGAGGGGCTTCCTATCACGTGGCTGGAAACGTTGGTAAAGTTGTTGGTGCCTCAGCAGTACATCCTCTACCTGTGACTTCTCGTCTTCCTGTTTATGCTTGGGATTTGGAGAGGGCAGGCAGTCACCCATCCACCCTCTTATAGATCTCACTGGCTTGAACACAGTAGTCTTGCTGGAACCATTTAATTCAATAAATGCTTAAACAATATTCTAGTTTACTTTGGTATGTGGTAAGGTTCCAAGAATCTTTGTACTTTAATAAATTCAAATACAGCTTCAAATTGTGATCTAGCATTCACAATGAAAATACTCGAGTAGCTTTTTCAATGAAGAGCACAGAAAGTAAACAAGGTGGCTAGGTAATACTTAAATGTAAGACCAAGAAAGAGCCCTACTAGGAGGTACTTTATTTTTCTTAGAAAAAAAAAAAAAAATTCCAGGCATGAACAGTTGACATTTCAACAACAGAACTGGTTGAGGAGAGATTTCAAGGAGCTGGGGATTCTACAACATTATGAAGAAAAGCTGGTAACCGGCTTCACTAGAGGTGGGAGACTTCTGGCTACTAAGTCAGTTAAGAATTCAGTGGGATGACATTTCCTTCTGTAGAGTTTATATTTGCCATCTCTCCTATCCCTCAAAAATGCCACCATACAAAGCCCAGTAGCAGTTAGGGTAGGCTCCAATCTTCCCCTTGGGTAAGAAAGGGTGGAGAAAAGGGACAGTCACTCCTGAGTCTCCATGCTTTCCTCCTCCTCTCCTTGAGGTGGTTCTTCTGTATTCTCCTCCTCTTCCTCTCCTTCCTTCTTCTCCGGTGGTTTCTCATAAGCCTTTTCTGAAGGTGTCACTATCACTCCATCCCAAGTAGTTATTTCAGAAGCAAGATCTAACAGAGAAAAAAGGTGTGATTTCAGACAAGTAGCCCAGCACAAAAGTCATGATCGACACAGTGGAAATATTAAGATATCTGAGCAGTGTGGTTTCTTTGTAGACCACAGAATACCCCAAAGAACCTCCAACCCAGGATCACTCACAGCTGGCATCACCCTCCTGGCCAAGGATCTTCCTAAAGCCACCATGTGAGAGGATTCGGACCAGAGTCTGGGCTGTGTAGCAGACCATGTCCTGAAGGAGAGCAAAGTGAGGATAAATAAGGAAGTATAATCAAAATACCTTGTTTGACTAACATTCTCATGAAAACAAAGATGAAGATAACCTTTTAATTTCAAGCCCCATATCTTGACCCCAAAGACTACATTCCCTCTACCTTCAGACCCGGGAGTATTCAAGAGTGTCACACAACAGACCATTTCAGAGCTGTTCCATTACCTGCTGTTCTAAGGTCATGACTGTGTGTACTCTGAAGTTGCCACTCTCACAGGGGTCTGTGATGCCCATGGACCCTGGCAAGAACAGTCCTGCAGCCAGAATCTGCAAGCAACGCCTGAAACACAGGGAGGTATTAAAAGAGCGCACAAGACAATTTACCTCCAGTCCTTACCCAGAAAAGCATGCTATACCTGTATGCCACATTAAGGGCCAGAGGCTGTCTGGTGGGGTTGTTCATCACGGCATAGTGCCCCTGGAAAAGAATAAATCAGGTAGGTGTGCCATAAAAAAGCAATCTATTTTCAAACAAACTAAAACTTGGAGCTATCATGAGGAAAACTGGTTATTAAGGCCAAGTCAAAACTTCCGCCTTCAGAAGGGATTCTTAAATCTGTTAACCAGGGAGTTCCCTTTTTAATTACACAACCTGTAATGGACACGTACTCTTTCACTAGGACGTGTCAGTACGTCACACCCGGAGGACGTAATTTCACATTATTTTTATTTATACTTAATTAAAATAAATGAAATATATATTTTTTCGTTTATATATAAAGCACAAAGGAAAATACAAAATTACAAAAAAATGGAAAAGAATACCAACAAAAAAAATGGAAACATCGAATTAAAAAATTATAAATTTTACAAACAATTATAAAGATTACAAAAAATATATACCGTCCCTCTCAGGGCGTATTCATACGTCCTACCTGTTCCCAATATTTTTTAGGTTTGACGTATTTATACATCCCAGTTAACAGGTTAAGTGACTGCTCATCTAGTATGTCCTCTCCATTATTATATTAGTGAAATGACAGTAATAAGACAAAGGGGCTTTAATAACTACTCTTTTCTCTAAACAATCCTTTATTTACTTGTCCAGCAATAAAATATTTTTTAAGCTTCACCAAACTTCAGATTCTGGTAGATATCAGAGTATTATTAAATAGGGATGATCAGGAACAACTGTCCTTTACTTACGAGTAGGTCAAGGATCCAGGGTGTGAGGGGCTCAAAGCCAGGAAAACGAATCCTCAGGTCCTTCAGAAGTCTGATGAGAACTTTAACTCTAAAGGTAGGAGGGAACCAGAGAGTAAAAGTAATATGATCATGCACTGCCACATCCGAGTACTCAGCTAAAGCTATTTCCAGAACTACACGTTCTCTCCTTTCCATTTGAATTTTGCTTAACGTAAAATTCAGAATCCAGACAGAAGTTGAAGCCAAAATAGTTGTCAGAGGAAGTAGAGGAGTACCCTGTACAGTAGTTAGAAGGGTTAAGTTACCATAGCTCAAATACTGAAGGGAAACTCACGTAGACTGAGAAGCGTTTTCTTCAAACCAGCGAGCATGTCGGATGGCCGCTAAGGCACTCTGCAACACCTTGATGTCCACTAGAAGCATGACAGGCCAAGATGAAACATTCCTATTAAGCAAGCAACCCCACTTCCACAGTTCAGTAACTTGGAAGGATGACAGGATAACGTAATTCCTGAACCACATCATGGTTTTGTTCGTCCTGGTGTAGCTCAATTAATTGGAGCACCATCATCCTATGCACCAAAAGGTTATGGGTTCGCCCTGGCCACGTATCTCAGTTGGTTAGAGCACAATCCCCAATATATCAAGGTTGAGGATTTGATTCCCTGGTCAGGGCCCACACAAAAACCATCTAGTTGCCCTAGCCGGTTTTGCTCAGTGGTAGAGCACCTGCCGGCAAACTGAAAGGTTACAGGTTCGATTCTGGTCTAAGGCACATGCCCAGGTTGTGGGTTCGATCCCCAGTGGGGGCTTGCAGGAGGCAACGGATCCATGATTCTCTCATCATGGATGTTTCTCTCTCCCTCTTCCTTCCTCTCTGAAATCAATAAAAATATATTAAAAAATAAGTAAAACTATGCTAAAAAGAAAAAAGCCAATGAATGCATAGATAAGTGGAACAACAAATAGATGTTTTTCTCTCTCTAAAATCAATAATTTTTAAAATAATTTTTTAAAAAGGTTGTGGATTCCATTCCCAGACCAGGCATATACCTAGATCACAGGTTTAATTCCGTCAGGGTACATACACAAGGCAACCAATTAATGTTTTTCTCCCCATTTCCTCTTACTAAAAAAAATAAAAATAAATAAATAAATAAAAATACATGTCCTGGGTGAGGATTAAAAAAATAATAAAAATAAAAAGTTAATAAACCACTCTGTTCCTCAGATCAGCAAATTACTTGTCCAAAACTCTCTACTTTTCCCCAGGCCGAATCCAGAAGCATACATGATCCACAATGTTTTCCAAAAGCCTAACCCAACTCCATCGTATTTCCATAGTTCTTAAGCCCTCAAACTGCTTTCCTGGTCATCCTATCTTTGACAATTTCACTAGCAAGCTGGTAAAACTGCCTTCAATTTACAGACGGAGGTAACAAAGTTTGGGAGTAAACTTAGGTTGCAGAACGTTTTATGTGGAATAGCAACAAGCTAAGTAAACTCAATAGCAACTGTATCCCATGTTTTGAATTTCCTCCAAATTTCCCAGCAATGGAAAAAAAGGACTAACAATGGAGTTCTGGATCCAGTTTTCGGAGATTGGGTGGCACTGTTGTAATGAGAATCTTCACTGTTGCATCAGAAGAACTGATCTCAAAGCCAGTTTCGTTGGTCAGCATGGTCAAAACTAAAAGAAAAGAAAAAAATTCAAAAGCTCTAACCCTCAGATTTCCATTAGTGAATTGACAGGTTTTCAAAAGCAGCAAGAGTCCAGAATGAGGATTTAGAATACAGAGTTTTAAAGGTAAATATCGTGTCAACAAAAATAAAGAAAAAAAGGAGATCATCAGGATTTTGAACAATGGCGATCTCGCCCATACTTCCCCAACATAAAGCTCTCCATGCACATTTTCTCTGGCCAGACTTTAACTGTACACTTAGAATTACAGATCCGGCTCTTAAGACCACTAAATACGTATTCGGCAACAAACTCAAACCTTCAGAAGGATCCTGTGCTCTGAGGCTTTCCACGACTTTGTTCCCCAGGGCAGCCACAGCTTCCACTGAAATGAGAGAAAAGGAGAGAAATTTGGGCTTTAAAGATCCCTATGCCTCAAACCCAACTGCTGTGTTCTGTTTCCACAGCCAGAAAGAGGGAAAAACTCACATGTTGGCAAAATCTTGAGGATTACCACCAGGTCAGCCACATTATGTCCTGTAGTCATTGTTCCCTTTTTATATGATCCAACCTGTCGCACTTCTTCAATTTGCTGTTGGAAAAAGGATTTCAGAGAGAGAGAAAGTGAAAAGACTGCCTAGTACCTCTCAGAGCTCAGTTACAACACAGCTGCTTATTACCCAGATTTGGAAGTTGCACAGGTCAAATCATATCCCAAAACCAGTAAGAAAAGCCTTTCATTGCGAGCTGAAAATAAAAGTCTTGTCCCCAAGATCAGTACCACGAAGGCATTCCATTGTACTTTCCCATGTAGGCGTGGCTTTGGTAATAGGTAATGGAAGAATTCAAAAAAACAGGAGCCAGTGTAATTTCCACACGACCAAGGCTGCCCTTTTCCAAGACTAAATAATCAAAAACTCACCACTTCAAATGTCCCTGGAGCCACAATCAAATTGTCAATCACATTGTTTATTTTTGTCACCAGAGAAAGGATAGAGGCCTGAAAAACAGCAGGAAACAAAAACCTCAGGTGAAAAATTATAAGCAACTTTGAATTATTTCCCCCTAGTCACGCTGAATCAATACCAATATAGTGCTTTGAAAACACCCATCTGGCCTTGAAAGTGCCAGAATAAAACTTTTTTTAATCTCAAAGATAGATTCCCCAATAAAAATATGAAGGCATATGTAATCTGGCACTCTTCCTCCACCCACAATGAGAATAAGGGGAACAATTTTAGAGTAGTCCACTTTGCCAGTTTTGTTTTCCATGGTTTCCGTTACCTGCAGTCAACTGTGTTAGGAAAATATTAAATGGAAAATTCCAAAAATAAACAATTCATAAGTTTTAAATTGTGCACCATCCCCCTAAGGACATGAGTCACCCCTTTGTCTAATATACCCATGCTGTTCATGCTACCTGCCCATGGCCCCCCGTTATCAGAGCAACTGTTGAGGTGTCGGTGTGCTTCATTCAAGTAAGCCTTCCAGTAAGCTGCCTAGGCTATGCCAGTGCCTATGTCATTCACCTGACTTCACTGCCTCATGTAGGCAGAGGATCGTATCATCCACAGCAAGAGATTTTGAGAGACCATATCCACATACCTTTTATTACGGTATATTATTGTAATTGTTCGATTTTGGAAGTTATAGTTACTGCTATTAAGCTCTTACTGTGTCTAATCTGTAAATTAAACTTTGTCATAGGTACATCTGTACAGGAAATAAGGCAGTCTATACAAGACTTGGTCTTATCCCCAGTTTCAGGCAGTGTGGGTCTCAGAACATACACCCCATGTACAAGGCTGGGAGGGGTGAGAGGGAGGCCAATATAAACCTGTGAAGTCTGGGCTCTGATAACAGTAACCTCACCGGTAGGTACTCACTTCTCTAGCTTCCTCAGAGATATCCCAGGGGAAAGCCAAAAGAATATACCTGTTCAGCAGAATTAGGAGCAAGGTCCTGATTTCTTTTCAGCAATGCCTCACTGAAGGAAGATTCATCAGCTGCTGGCTTAACCCGAGGGAAGGCCATTTCACACTAAACCAGAAATAAACAACTACTTATCATTTATCAATATACAGCCCTGGCTGGTTTGGCTCAGCAGATAGAGCTTTGGCCTGCAGACTAAAGGGTCCCAGGTTCAATTCCAGTCAAGGGCACATGCCCGGGTTGCGGGCTCCATCCCCAGTAGAGGTGTGCAGGAGACAGCCTATCAATGATTCGTGCAGGAGACAGCCTATCAATGATTCTCTTTCATCATTGATGTTTCTACCCCCCCCTCTGAAATTAATTATTTTTTAAATTCTTTAAATGTATTACATAAATCTCCTTCCCCCCCACAATTACCTCCCCAGCCACCCCCATTCCTACACCCCCTCCCTGCATATGCCCTCACTACCCACCCACCCCTCCCCCCCAACTGTGTCCATCGGTTATGCTCATATGCATGCATAGAAGTCCTCAATAAAAATATTTTTTTAAAAATAATATACTGGGGAGATTACTTTTCTGTTGCTATAACAGAAAAAAACTGAAAACAAAAAAATCTTTCAACACTTGTTTTTACTCAAGATGTCCAAACAAGGATACAAACTGGAAGAAACAGCCATAACTTAAGCTCTGGCCACCTTTACATTAACAGATAAGCCAGAGATGCAATATTCAGAACAAACATAATAAACATGTTACTGCCAATAATAGCCAAGATATTAGCTTCCCTACCCTGCTTACTGGTATACTGTTTTTGGCAACATGCAGCTGATTCAAAGCCAACTCTAGTCACTAATCCCTTTTCCTACTGCAACCAGCATTTTAACCGGGAGATGTTGGGCTCCAGGAAAGTACAGTGAACAGTGGGCAGCTCCATTTCTGTCAATGGGGGAACGTGGCAATGGTACTCACCAAATAAAAATCAAATGGGATGTGTGGCACGAAGGGCCTGAACCTAAAACCAGAGAAACAGTCCAAATTATTAACTGCAGGAAATAAAGTAACGTAGCTTAGGGGGCCAAACTCATTTAGCAGGCGAGCATGTGGTTTCTAAACCCCGGCTGGATCACAAAAGCAGGGACCGTTAGTCCCCTCCAAACTCTTCCTCGGATGACGGGAATGGGAAGAGATGCTACAAACTGGCACTCACCCTCCTCCTGGGCCTCCTCTGGAACCAAAGCGCCCGCCACGACCGCGGCCTCTGTCGCCCCTGGAAACGCATAAAACAAATAGACTTGAACGTGTTTCTCCACCATACCGGCCCATCACTTCAAGTCGGCCTACCTCCACCTCCGAACTTTCCTTTGGACACTAAGAATCCCCATTCCCACTTACCTTTCTCCCCATTTCAAAGCCCCACCTCACCCATGGCCCCCTCGTTCTGGATACTGAGCCCCTACAAGATATACCCCATAATCCCTGGGACACGCCGACTCTAACACGTCAGAGACTAAAGATCGCTTCTTTATTCATTGAGACAGTAAAGCATTTCTCGGGCAGATGTGGTCAAGCACTCAGGATGAATGAGGCCTCGTTCAAGCCTTCTCGGGCTGCATGGGGAGACGCGAGGGTTGCTCTTCCTATGGCCTGCGGACACCCCCTCACCTGAACCCCTCCGAAAGGCAGATGCGAAACCCTCCATCCCGGGCCCAGGTCTCCCCGCCTTCGCGGCCTCCGATCTCCCCGCTAGCCCAGGCCTGGAGCCCCCAGACACGTGGTCCTTCCCGGTCCTGCGCCTCCCTCCGGCCCACCTCCCCAAAAATCTCGGCCAGACACCCCACACCTCCCCAGACCTCCGAGTCCTTACCTCATGGCGCCCCAAATCCTGAACAATGGAAGCCACACCAACCGCCCCACTCCTCCGAGAAGCCGACGGGCGCAGAGGCGGCTTGCCGGCGTGTCCCAACAAACTGCGGTGCGATTGGCTCCCGCCTTCCTCCTCCGCCTGTGCCTATTGGTTCACCGCAGAAAGCAGGCTTGTGAACCAATAAAAATCCCTGCTGCGTCAGGAACTAGCCAATAAGAACACACGAGACCGTAATGACGATTTCCCCCTCCCCCCCCCCACATTAGACGGCGCTGTGTAAAGAGATCAGGACAGAGATTACGTAGATTTCTATAGGAGTCATGAGGCACTTTTACCCGCAGGAGCAGAGTGGCGCAGCGGAAGCGTGCTGGGCCCATAACCCAGAGGTCGATGGATCGAAACCATCCTCTGCTAGCAATGTTTTTTTTTCCCCCTCACTAGAATAAAATACTTTTTATTTTTTCAGTAAAAGTAAACGCCATACTTCTACTTTTTCCTCCCTCAAAAAATGCAATCTTTCGAAGCTGTTTTTGCCTCTAGCAAGTGAAGTGAGGAAATAGGAAGGGACTTCAATAGCAATGAACACTATTCAAAAGAAGCGGCTTTGAGCAAAGGACGCAAGTGTAGATTGAATCAGAGGGAAAAGCACTGATAGTGAGGGACTAGGAAAGGAAACAGAGGCAGCTTCGGGAAGAGACTTCAGAAAAAGCGAGCGAGGGAAGAAGCAAGGAGAGAAGGACCCGGCCATCCCTGCACTTCTTTTCTTTCCTCATTCTATAAACGGACGGATTTTACCCTCATGCGAGGTTTCACCAGTTACAGATGCCAATATGCTGTATTTGCATTTAAATCAATCCGATTACTACCTGTTTTGCCTCTCCTTGTAATACATTCCCCGCTCCCCTGCTTGCCTCCTTTTGCATTGATTAATGTTTATTATTCCCTCCCCGCCTTTGTTAATTAAAAGTCACTCTTCTCTTATATTGGCTACCCTAAACATTACAACATGCATCCTTGATTTATGTAATACTTTATATTCTTCTCCTAAAAAATGCAGGAATAATTAATCATCACTCCCTCCAGAATTATATGCTATTGCTGTTGTCATAATTCTTTTAAATACGTTATTGACATGTGATTTATTACAACAAATGCACAGATCGTAAGCCCACAGCTCGATTATTTTTGAGTAATATATTCTGTCTATAGAACCAACACCCAAATTACCTTTTTTTTTTTTAATCACCTCAGTTCGCTGATACTCCTTTGCCCTACCCCTAGAGGCAATCTCTCTTTTGATTTCTATGATCGTTGATTACTTTTGTCTGTTTCTGAAGTTCAAATAAAGGGACTCACACTATATGTACTCTTTTTTCAACCTATCTCATTTTTGCATTTATCAGCAATTTGTCCCTTTTTTATTTATGAGTAGCATTCCATTAAATAATTATAGCATAGTTTGTCCTTCCTCCCTTTTTTTTTTTTTTTGTCCTTTCTCCTTTTAAAAAAATTTTTTTTTATTGATTAGAGAGAGGAAGGAGAAGAATAGAGAGATAGAAACATTGATCAACCGCCTCTTACAGGCCCCCCACTGTAGATGAAACCCACAACCTGGACATATGCCTTGACTGGACACAAACAGGTGACCTTTGGTGAATGTGTTGATGCTCAACCACAGAGCCACATAGGAGTGTGTGTCTGTCCTTTCTCCTTTTGATGAATTCAGGACTTCCAACCAACTGAGTCGCAGACAAACACATTTGGGTTGATATTATAAATAAAGCTGCTATGGACATTTTTTTTTTTTTCAAAATTCTTGTGGTTAGATGCATTCACTTCTCTTGGATAGGAGTAGGTATATATATGCACACAATTTAATTATCTATATACTTTCAATCCCACTAGACATTAATGTTTATTCATTAAATTAGTGGTCATTTAGATTTACCATTTTTTAATGGTAAACCTTATTTTTATTGTTGACTAAATGTATCATTTTTAAATTTTTTATTGATAAGAAAGAGAGAGAGAGATTTGTTGTTCCGCCCATTCATGCACCCAGGGACTATGCTCTTTATTCCTTCCTGCAATCTAGTCACTCACCTGGAATAACATGCCTTCTGCTTGAGAATTAGTGTCCCTCTGCTGGCTGCTTTCTTGGTTTTGGTTTGTATTAATACATCTTCATTTCACCTGTGTTTTCAAAGGACATTTTTTTCTTCTATGGCTTCCTAGTTTGGGAGTTATTTTCTTTCAACACATTTACAATGTTATTTTACTGTCTGTGGCTCCATATATATATGTGGTAAAGGTGGAAAATTATTGAAGAACAAGTACAGACTCCCACATGCAGAGAGGGAAAGAGTCCCACTGAGTCCCTTTTCCCTACAGTTTATAAAGGCTGCAGATCTTTGTGCCTAGATATCCCCTCTGATTCTCTTAGATTGGTTACTATAGCAACTCCTGAGCTTAAGACTCACGTGAAGTTCCCTCCTTCTTATGGCTTCCTTTTTTACTGTAAAAAAAAGTTGTCAATCTAATAATAGTTTTTCCTTTAAAGGCAATTAACACTTTTTAAAAAAATTTTTACAGAGTGGAATAGAGCGTTAGAAACATCAATAAGAGAGAAACATGGACCAGCTGTCTCCTGCACACCTCCTACTGGGGATGAACCGGCAAACAAGATATATGTCCCTGACCTGGGACCCTTCATTTTGCAGGCTGATGCTCTATCCACTGAGCAAAACCGGTTAGGGCTAATACTCGTTTTTTTATATTTTATTTTATTGTTTTGTTTTTTTGGGGGGGGTTCCTCTTTTTTATATTTTAAAGATTTTAATTTTATTATTTAATTTCCTGCAGTTTCATTCTGATGGGTTTAGATATGGATTTTTTTTTTAATCCTATTTGAGGTTTGTTGCACTTGGAATTTGTGGCTTAATGTATTTCATCTACTTTTTAAGATTCTCAGCCATAATCTCTACACATAATGTTTTATCCTATTATTTCCCCCCTTCTGGGCTCCAAATAAAGGTGTGTCAGACTTTCTCACAGTATCCTCTATGTCTCTAACATTCTCTTAGGTTTTTCATCTTTTATTATCATTATGAGAGGGGGAAAAAACATAGATTTGTTGTTTCATTAATTGGTTGATTTTTTTCTTGTATGTGCCCTGACTGGGATCGAGCCTGCAACCTGCCACAACCTTGGCATATCTTGGCATATCGGGAAGTCACTCTAATCAACTGAACTATCCAGCCAGGGCTTTCTTCTGTTCTTTTTTTTTTTTAATCATTTATTCAATTCTCGGGGTAACTTGCTGTTATACCCATCAATTGGTTTTTAATTTTGGTTTTTTAATATTTTGGATCTGGATTTTCTAATTCTAGTTTACCCTACTCTTAGGTTTTTCCTAAGAGTGCAGCCTCCCAGGATCCTCACCCAAAACAGGATGGTGGTTTTACCAGGGTTCTCACCTTTGGGGACATTTGGATTCCAAATTTGTCCCACTTGCCCCACACAGTCTGTTTTCTTCCACCAGTTCCCCATCAGCAAATGACCTTAAGGTAAAAGCAGTCCCACTGCTGATCTCAACTTTGTTTTTCTGCCCTTTCCTGCTCTAACACCAATAATTCCTCATCATTGTACTAGTCCTTGATCTTTTAAAAAATATTTTTTATTGATTAAAAACGTGGATGGGGGAGAGAGAGAGAGAGAGAGAGAGAGAGAGAGAGAGAGAGATGGATATGCTGCCTCCTGCACATCCCAGGGATCCAGCCTGCAACCCAGGCATGTACCCTGACTGGAAATTGAACTGGCAACCTTTCAGTGCATAAGATGACTCTCAATCAACTGAGCCACACTGTCCAAGGCTTGATCTTTAAAAGTATTTAATCTAACGCTTTTAGTTGTCTTCAGCTTGGAAATTAAAGAAATTATTTAATCAAACATTATTGATGGAAGAGCTCAATTATTAAATTAGATATCTAGCCCAGACATTTCTCCTGAACCCCAGTTCCACTGATCCATTGACCTATTGGACAATTCCATTTAGGTTTCTATAGGAACCTCAAACCTAACAAACTAAAATTGTTAACATTCCTCAGGTGAGGATAAAAAGAAAAAAGACACAAGGAAACTTTTAGAGGTGATAGATATATTCATTACCTAGATATTGTGGCAATATTTTCACAAGTATATACATATGTCCAAACTAATCTTTTATTAATTAAAATATATTTTTATTTATTATAGAGACTAAGGGAAAGGAAGAGAGAGAAATAACAATGATGAGAGAATCATTGATCAGCTGCCTCCTGCACCCCCCACTAGGGATGTGCCCACAACCAAGGTACATGCCCTTGACCGGAATCGAACCCGGGACCCTTCAGTCCACAGGCTGACGCTCTGTCCACTGAGCCAAAGCGGCCAGGGCTCTACTGATTTTTTAATTTATTTCAGAGAAAGAGGAAGGGAGAGGGAGAGAAAGAGGGAAACATCAACAGTTGCTTCCTGTCCGGGGACTAAACCTGAAACCCAGGAATCAAACCTGAGACCCTTCAGTGCATAGGCAGACCCTACAAGCAAGTGAGCCACACCAGCAATGTGCTTATTTTTAAGTTTGGGCTATTAAATACAGAGAGAGAAAATGCAAGCCACACAAAATGTGCCTGTCATCCTAAGTTGGGCTACAGTTTGCCCTAACGATAGAAATATTCAAAATTCTCCTAAAATTCTCTATGTAGAAAACATATTTCAGTTTCTGCTCCTTCTACACAAAATACTTTTCTCATCCTTCTACGCTTGTTGATTTATTTCTCCTTGAATTTCTTCCTGGTCCCAAGGCAGGCAGAATAGTTTTCAGCTGGACCTTTGTCTTAATTTATCCATCTCTGAATTGTAGTCCTTAATGACATGACATTATGACTGTATGTCCCAAATTGAGCTCTTGAGGTACAGACTCTATTCGCACTTCTCTTTTTGCCCTTAGCATCTAGCTGGTGCCTAACTCTTACTACCGTGTTTCCCCGAAAATAAGACATCCTCCGAAAATAAGACCTACTTACAGGTTTCCTTCTGAGTGAAATATAAGGCATCCCCACAAAATAAGACCCCTCCTAGGCTAAACATGAGAGATTTGGTCCACTGATTCTGAAAGAAATGGAATCACAAGAAATTCACCAGGAAATTCAGGAATTGGATTGTTATGATGATGTTCCAGAAGATGATGGCATGATTGTCATTGAATAAATGAGTAAATTCTTAATACTGTAGGATTCACAGTTTGTCTGGTTTGTGTTGACAACTACTGTACTACCGTACCGTATACAGGTAATAAATTTCCTTTATTTTCATTTAACAATAAATGTGTACCGTATTCTTCTTCATGGAAAAATAAGACATCCCCTGAAAATAAGACCTAGCGCATCTTTGGGAGCAAAAATTAATATAAGACACTGTCTTATTTTCGGGGAAACAGGGTAGGTCCCCTGCAACAGTTTGCAAACCTTGGGTCCTGGCCTAGGCGCAGGGTTGGAGAGCTTGGTGGCCCAATACCGTCAATGACGCCCTCTGGCCACCAGAGGGCAGACTGATTCTACAGAGGTCCGGTCCAGCTGCCCCGCAGTCAAGTTTGCGCACCCAAACCTTCCCCTCCGCTGGTCATTTCCAACATCATTTCTCACCAGTCATCACCCGCACGTTTCCCCTCCTCGGCTTCATGACCCTTTAGGAACTAAAGAGTTAATCCTGCCCTCCCAACCTACCCTACCCTATTCTCCGCCGACCCCTTTGATGGGGGTGGAGGGGCGTCCTGGATGGTCTGGGTCCTCAGGACCTGGGGTTCGCCTACGTTAACGTCTTTTCCAGAAACCCGTCACTCCCCGACACTCCCATCACACACATTTTCCTGCTGAGGTCCCGATCCAGCACCTCCTTCCTCCCCGGGAGGAGGGGAGGGCAAAGGTGTGTGTGTGTGCGTGTGTGTGTGTGTGTGTGTGTGTGTGTGTGTAAGCTGGGGGGGTCCCCACACCCTTCTCTATTCAGTTCTCCCGCGCGGACGTCGGGGGCCGTGACGCGGGCAGCGGGTCCAGGGGGACGGGGTGTTGGAGAGCCCGCGGCGCGGGGGCGGGGAGGAAGGAGTTAAAGGTCCGGATTGGCTCCGCTGATACCGAGCCTGGGAGGGGACGAGTCCGGAGGGAGGGGTGGGAGCTTGGCTCGGGTCCTCCCCCCCCCCCCCCCTCCCCGCCCCGGGACAGCTGGAGACGCGGGCCGGCCGGACGCCGCTCCGGGCAGACTCGCCGGGGCCGCGCTCCCGCACACACAGCGCATTCCCCTCTCCCTCCCCGTGCCATCCCCCGACCTTCCTCCCTCTCCCAACTCCTCTCTCTCTCTCTCCCTCTCTCTTCTCTTCTCTCTCTCTCTCTCTCTCTCACACACACACACACACACACACACACACACACACACACCCCTAGCTCACTCCGGCCCCTCCGCTCCAGGCTCCCCTCCTCGCGCCCACCTGCTCCGCAGCTCCCGGGGGTCCGCCCCCCCCAACCCGCCCCGCACCCTAGGCTCTCCGGACCCTGACCCTGACCGTGACCGTAGCCGCTGGAGGGGACCGAGTTCCCCGGGGTGAGCGCCCCCGCCCGCTCCGCCTCCCTCCCCCCTGAGCCCGAAGGGCCCGCGGAGGCCATGGTGGGAGCCCCCGCCCCCCGAGGGGCCCTCTGAGGCCATGCCGCACCCCGGGGCCCCCGCCGGCGCCCGCCCGCGCCCGTGGCCGCTCCCGCCCCCGCCGCCGCCGATGCTGCTCCTGCTCCCGCTGCTCCCGCTGCTCCGGGGCGGCCTCGCGGGCAACCTGACGGTGGCCGTGGTGCTGCCGCTCGCCAACACCTCGTACCCGTGGTCCTGGGCGCGCGTGGGCCCGGCCGTGGCGCTGGCGCTGGCCCGCGTGCGGGCGCGGCCCGAGCTGCTGCCCGGCTGGACGGTGCGCACGGTGCTGGGCAGCAGCGAGAATGCGCGGGGCGTCTGCTCCGACACCGCCGCGCCGCTGGCCGCCGTGGACCTCAAGTGGGAGCACGCGCCCGCCGCCTTCCTGGGCCCGGGCTGCGTGTACGCCGCCGCGCCCGTGGCCCGCTTCACGGCGCACTGGCGGGTGCCGCTGCTCACGGCCGGCGCCCCGGCGCTGGGCTTCGGCGCCAAGGACGAGTACGGGCTCACCACGCGCGCCGGGCCCAGCCACGCCAAGCTGGGCGACCTGGTGGCGGCGCTGCACCGGCGCCTGGGCTGGCGGCGCCGCGCGCTCGTGCTCTACGCCTACCGGCCCGGCGACGACCAGCCCTGCTTCTTCGTGGTGGAGGGGCTGTACCTGCGGCTCCGCGACCTCCTCAACATCACCGTGGACCACCTGGAGTTCGCCGAGGGCGACCGGGACCACTACGCCAGGCTGCTGCGCACCGTGCAGCGCCAGGGCCGCGGTGAGCAGGCGCAGTGGCCCGGGGCCCCTCATCCCGGGGAGGTGCCTGGACGTCCCCTCTTTTCTCCGGCCAGTCTGTCTCCTCCTCCTCCTCCATCTCCTCTTCTTCCTCTCCTCTTCTTCCATCTCCTCTTCCTCCATCTCCTCCTCCTCCATCTCCTCTTCCTCCTCTCTTCTTCCTCCTCTCTTCTTCCTCCTCTCCTCCTCCTCCTCCTCTTCCTCTTCTTCCTCTTCTTCCTCAGGTTCCTCCTCATTCCTGTCTCAGCCGCTTTGGCCTTTTCCATCTCTGAGTCTCCATCTCCTTCTCTTTTCCCATCCCTGTTCTCCCCGTTTGCAGGGCCCTCTCCCTTCTCACCTACCCCTCTCCCTCGCCTCCTTCCTGCCCTCCAGCTCCCAGCGAATTAGGAAGGGGTGCCTGCTGCCACCCTGACACTGAGTAGGTTCCTGGCCTAGTTCCCATCCCTCTTTTCTCGCTCATTTTCTGTCTCTTCCCAACAGCCTTGCTCCTTCCTCCATCTTCTCCTCCCATTGCTCCCACACACCAGCTCCTGGCCAGTCCCCTCTCCAGCTGGCCTTCCTCTCCTTCCGGCCTGGCCGCCTCGGGACTTGACCTCCCCTTTGCCCACTCCCCCTACCTCTGCTCCTTTCTCCCTCCCACCTCCACCTCCTACCTTCTCCACCTGTCTCCTGCCACAGCCTGTACTGAGCCAGGAGTCCCACTTAACCACTGCAAGGTCTCTGTCCGACCCCCCGGGTGCCCCCGCTTCCCTCTCTGGAGAGTCTCCCCCACACGAGGCTTTTCTCTCTGACCCCTCCTCCCAGTCATCTACATCTGCAGCTCCCCGGATGTCTTCAGAACCCTGATGCTCCTGGCCCTGGAAGCCGGCCTCAGCGGGGAGGACTATGTGTTCTTCCACCTGGACCTCTTCGGGCAGAGCCTGCGAGGTGCCCACGGCCCTGGGTCCCACAGGCCCTGGGAGCGCGGGGACGGCCAGGATGCCGCTGCCCGCCGTGCCTTTCGGGTGCGTGCCCTGCTGTGGGACTCGGAACTGGTGGCACGTAGTTTCTGGGCACTGGGCCTTGCATTATCTGAAATGATTCTAGAAAAGAAGTTCTTTCATTTTAAGGAGTATATATTATTGATTTCAGAGAGGAAGGGAGAGATAGAAACATCAATGATGAGAGAGAATCCTTGACCAGCTGCCTCCTGCACGCCCCCTACTGGGGATAGAGCCCACAACCTGGGCATGTGCCCTTGACTGGAATCGAATCTAGGACTGAGTCAAACCAGCTAGGGCAGAAAAATTCTTGATGCTCATAAGGAGTTAGGTGAGGAAGGGCAGGGGTCTGGGTCAGGAGGTGTACGGAGGGAGGGCACTCATCAGAGCCGGGAGGATAAGAAGATGTGAGCACAGGCTTGAGGTGGAAGGACGCCAAGTCCTGCAGACTCACTGGGCTTGGAGAAGCTGCCTTTTTGGACCCCTGGTTTGGGGCAGACAGCGCCTCACCCAGGATACAGGGTCTGGCCTTAAGCTAAGCGGAGATGCAGCTCTGGGAGGTGGGCCCCAGGCTCCTGGAAGGATGGGTCTGCTCCCAGCTCACCCCTCTCCACTGACCCCTTCCTCAGGCTGCCAAAATCATTACATACAGAGAGCCAGACAACCCTGAGTACATGGAATTCCTGCAGCAGCTGAAGCACTTGGCTCGTGAGCAGTTCAACTTCACCATTGAAGATGGCCTGGTAGGACGGGGTCCCAGGACCCTCCAAGGCTGACCTCCAGCCCCCACTCCATGGCCCTCTGCCCGTCTCCACCCTGTTCTTTTAAAAATATACATATTTTATTGATTTTTTTACAGAGAGGAAGAGAGAGGGATAGAGAGTTAGAAACATCAAAGAGAGAGAATCATCGATCAGCTGCCTCTTGCACACCCCCTACTGAGGATGTGCCCACAACCAAGGTACATGCCCTTGACCGGAATCAAACCTGGAACCTTCCAGTCCGAAGGCCAATGCTCTTTCCACTGAGCCAAACCGGTTTCGGCATATGCCGAGGCATCTTGTCAATAGCAAAGCCTTTCTGTGTTACGGGGAGGTTTCCTCCCAAGCCCTGCCAAGCCCCCAGCACCTCCCATCGTCGCCCCCCTCCCCCCCACAGCGCCCACTGCGTGCCCCTCACGTATCGCACCCCAGTCAGGCTCTGCTGGTCCCCGCAGGTGAACACCATCCCGGCGTCCTTCCACGACGGGCTCCTGCTCTTTGTCCAGGCGGTGACAGAGACACTGGCACATGGGGGAGTGGTCACCGACGGGGAGGGCATCACGCAGCGCATGTGGAACCGAAGCTTCCAAGGTCAGGTCCTGGGGGCGGCCAGAACGGCCTGCCTGGGCGTGCACCAGGCTGGAGGCCGTGAGAAGCCTCAAGTCCTGTGGCCCCGGGCCTGGGAAGACACCTGCCCATGCCAGCCTTCCGCAGCTCCCTGTAGGCAATCCTGCTCCAGCTCCCCAGCTCCCTGGAGGCCCTCCTGCCCCATCTCCCAGCTCCCTGGAGGCCCTCCTGCCCCATCTCCCCAGCTCCCTGGAGGCCCTCCTGCCCCATCTCCCCAGCTCCATCAAGAGGTCCCTCTAAGTATCCAGCGCCAATCAGTCCTGTGGCTGAAGTGTCTGTCCCTTCTGTTATCATTCCATATGTGGGTGTGGGGCGGGCAAGGCAGAGACAGTCAAGGGATCAGATGAAGAGGGTATGGGGGGAGGGGGTCCCTGAACTTCCTTCCACTCCCTCAAAACACAGCCTTCTTCCTCCACGCCCCCAGGTGTGACCGGGTACCTGAAAATGGACAGCAATGGGGACCGAGAGACCGATTTCTCCCTCTGGGATATGGATCCTGAGACTGGAGCCTTTAGGGTAAGGCTGTGCCCGGGAGGACAGTGCCAACCAAGAAAGACCCCCTCGCCCCTCTTCTCCCCCCTGGCCCCCCCTCACCCCAGCCCTGGCAGGGCATCTGTCTCCTCTGAAGTTACCTACTGTGCTTGATCACTTATGGAGGGCCCTGGATTAGAAGGGTCTGCTCTAGTCGGGGGGATCCACCAGAATGATGGGGACTCACAGGCATTACTCTCGGGAACCCCATGTCTGAGGAGGGAGCACAGCCCTACCCTAGGGTCACAGAACCCCTCCCACAGAGACAGGCAGCTCAGAGCCGAGAGGAACTCCCACTGTGTTCAAGTTATTCCACGCTAATGACATGGGGCCTGGGGATGGGGGTCTGTATCCGTCACAGCAAGGGTTTGATGCATAGTTGACATCCCAGTTAAAGGACCTGGAAGCAGAGATGGGATAGGTGGGAGGCAGGACTACCCAACAGGACAGGAGGACAGGACAGGAGGTCCTCCCCGCCCACCATTCCCGCCCGCCCGCCCTCCCGTAGGTCGTTCTGGACTACAATGGGACTTCCCAGGAGCTGGTGTCTGTGTCCGGGCGCACACTGCACTGGCCCCTGGGACACCCGCCCCCTGACATCCCCAGATGCGGCTTTGACAACGAGGACCCCGCCTGCGACCAAGGTGCCTCCCCTTGCCTTCCAGGCCTCCATTCTGAGAGACTGCTCCTCTCCCCCTCCCCACCCCTACCCCCACTATTGGGAGTCAAATCAGTGCTCCCCTCCCACCCTGAGTTTTCTGGGAAGGCTCCGGCCTTTTCCCTCCCTTCCTCAGTCAGCCTAGCTCCCTGGTTGGCCGTTGAAGGCACTCCTGCTGTCTAACCAAACTCTTTGTTGCTGCACCTGGGACTCTCTCCTGCAGCCCACTTTTCCACCCTGGAGGTGCTGGCGTTGGTAGGCAGCCTCTCTCTGCTCAGCATCCTCATCGTCTCCATCTTCATATACAGGTGAGCCTTGGGACGAGGGTGGCAGGTGAGGCTGGGAGACCAAGAGAACCAGTCAGGCTCAGGGGAGATGGCAAGGATGCAGAGGAAGGGAGAAGGGGTGAGGGCATAGCAGGGGAAGGGAGAAGGGTGAGGGCACAGCAGGGGAAGGGAGAAGGGGTGAGGGCACAGCAGGGGAAGGGAGAAGGGGTGAGGGCACAGCAGGGGAAGGCCGCTGGAGCTGGGGGAGAAAAGAGACTGAAAAGCCTTAGGACACAAGGAAGAAAGGAGGAAGCGGTAGGAGTGGCCAGGGAGAGGGAGGCGATCCCAGACAGCAGGGGGGCGGGCATCATAAAGGCCTGGATATTGGCCCAGGGACCGGTTTGTCCCCCACCACCCTACTCTTGCTGGAGGGAGGAGAGGCAGTGGTTCAGACTGGGAATGGGCCCCTGTGAGCAGGCAGGGTGAGGAGCCCATGGGCATTCAGAGAGAAAGGAGCCCTGTGCCTCCTCCCAGTGGAGCTGAAACGAGGAGAAGTTAAGGAGAGATGGAGGGGAGAACATTCTTGCTGGTTGCTCATGTACTGTGTACAGACCCTCCCCACCACATTCTCCTCCTCCTCCTCCTCCTCCTCCTCCTCCTCCTCCTCCTCCTCCTCCTCCTTCTTCTTCTTCTTCTTCTTCTTCTTCTTCTTCTTCTTTTTTAATATTTCTTTATTGATTTCAGAGAGGAAAGGAGAGGGAGAGAGATAGAAACACAAATGATGAGAGAGAGCCATTGATCAGCTGCCTCCTGCACGCCCCCTACTGGGGATCGAGCCCACAACCCAGGCATGTGCTCTTGACCTGAATCAAACCCAGGACCCTCCAGTCTCAAAGAAATAAAGGGACTGCCCAAGGTCCCAGGGAGGCAGAGTTTCGCCCAAGCCTCCTGACTCTGAGCCCAGGGTGGGCCTGAGACCCGCCTCAGCAGAGCGGTGTGGGGCCAGGGCTCTGAGAAGGGGCCGCGGGGCGGAACCTCCCCATGCGGGTCAGGGGCTCAGAGGCAGGTGTCCTGCCCCAGGAAGATGCAGCTGGAGAAGGAGCTGGCCTCAGAGCTGTGGCGGGTGCGCTGGGAGGACCTGCAGCCCAGCAGCCTTGAGAGGCACCTCCGGAGTGCGGGCAGCCGGCTGACCTTGAGTGGGGTGAGGACGCTGGTATTGGGGGGGACCTGGGGGACAGCTGGGGATGGGGTGGGGGAGGGCAGTGCCTGATGGGTAAGGGAGAGAGCAGGGTTCTGACCCCAGCTGTCTTTCACTTGTGTGGCCTTGGGCACGTCACGGCCCCTCTCTGCGGCTCTCAGAGCCTCCCTTACGGCTCCTCAAAGGCTGAAGACAGGACATGTGAAAATATGCTAAAGGGGAAAAGCACGTGAGGAGAGGATTCCATGACGTGGAATGAGGCAGTGAAGACCAGAGCTCGAGCCATCAGTAGGGAGAGCGGGGCCCATGGTGGGGACATCCCCCAGGCTGACACCCCTCCTGCTCTCTCCATCCCTCCAGAGAGGCTCCAATTACGGCTCCCTCCTCACCACAGAGGGCCAGTTCCAGGTCTTCGCCAAGACAGCGTACTATAAGGTGGGCCTGGGCCCGACCCAACCCTTGGCAGGCTGTTCTCTGACAGCACAGGGCGGGCCAGGAGGCACGGGAGGGGGAGGGAGGGGACTGTGAGGAGCGGCTGCAGATCCAGGGCATTTGGGAGCTCCCATCCCCTCGCAGTGACCGTCAACATTCCTTGCCCAGGGCAACCTCGTGGCTGTGAAAACTGTGAACCGCAAACGCATCGAGCTGACGAGAAAAGTCCTGTTTGAGCTGAAGCATGTAATGCAGGGGAGGGAGGCAGTGGCTGGGGGAAGCAGCCCAGGGGGACGCGGGAGGTTGGCCAGCAGCACTGCAATGGAGAGACCTCGGGGTCATCTGAGCCCTGGGACGCGCCCTCGCGTCTTGGGCACGGGAGGAGGCGTCACAGACGGGGAAAGGACAGCTGGACACGTCCCGGAGGGGAGTCCTCGAGGGCTTGGGAGGCAGGGGGAGTAGGGAGCCGGCTTGGAGGGGTGCTGGGCTACAGAGCACGGGTGGGAATCATCAGGGAAGGTCCTAGAATGTCTGGGGAATGAGGACAGAGTTAAGAAGAGAGAGCAGTCCTCGCGGGTGGGGGACACGTTGAGGAGTGAGTGCCCTGTCAGGCTCCTGATGTCGGCTCCCCCTGCAGATGCGGGATATACAGAATGACCACCTGACCAGGTTTGTGGGTGCCTGCACCGATCCCCCCAACATCTGTATCCTCACCGAGTACTGCCCCCGTGGGAGCCTGCAGGTGAGGGGATCACGGGGAGTCCGGAAACGTAGGTCTAGCCCTGGCTCTCACCCAAGGCAGGCCTCTCTCTCTTTCTGACCTTTATTTGCCCATCTGTAAAATGGGAAGGAGGTGGGAGGAGAGGCGGTGGCACGAAAGCAAATCAAAGATCTGTTCTGTGCTGCCACTTGACGACAGTAGGACCCCTGCCCTCCTCTTCCGGGGGAGTCTGCAGGGCACAGGTCTGACTCTCGCTGTCTGGTAGGACATTCTGGAAAACGAGAGCATCACCCTGGACTGGATGTTCCGGTACTCTCTCACCAACGACATCGTCAAGGTAGGGCCAGGAGAGCCCCTTGGACGCGGGGGAGGCATGCTTCTCTGGCCGTGGGTATAAGTCCCACTCACACCCCAGGCCCCCCCCCCCCCCATTCTCCAGGGCATGCTGTTCCTGCACAACGGGGCCATTTGCTCCCACGGGAACCTCAAGTCATCCAACTGTGTGGTCGACGGCCGATTCGTGCTCAAGATCACCGACTATGGGCTGGAGAGCTTCAGGGACCCGGAGCCAGACCAAGGACACACCCTCTACGCCAGTGAGCTCAGACCCCCTCTGCCCCCAATCCGGCCTGGAGGCCAGCCTGGCAGGGAGGCTGTGCCTGGTCTCGGATGGGCTTGAGCACGCCTTTCCGGTCTCTTGCCCGTTTGTTCCCCGGGAGCACGAGGAGTCGGATGCAGTGGTCTCCGGGCCTCGGCTAGCTCTAGCCCTCAGTTCGGTGTCTCCAGATCAGGCCCAGACAGGTCTTCTGGCTCTGTCCTTGTTTCCCTTTAGCGTTGGGCCCTTCACCCCGTGACTCCTGACCTCTGACCCGCAGAAAAGCTGTGGACAGCCCCCGAGCTCCTGCGAATGGCCTCACCCCCCGTCCGGGGCTCCCAAGCGGGTGATATCTACAGCTTTGGGATCATCCTTCAGGAGATTGCCCTGAGAAGCGGCGTGTTCCACGTGGAAGGTTTGGACCTCAGCCCCAAAGGTAAGAGGACCGTGCTGTCCCCCAGCCCTGCCTCAGTCTCGGTGTGCCTCAGCCCCAGAGGGAGCTGCCTGGAGATGCCACCACACCTTCCTTCTGCAAAGTTCAGCCACCACCCACCCGCTGCTCCATGGCTGCCAGCGACCCTGAAGCATGACTGGGCTCTCCCGCCCCCTGCCCGGGTCCTGGCCGTCCCCACTCCATCTCTCAGCTGGCCCTTGGCTGACCCAGCCACGGAGCCCCTTCCTCCCCACACACAGAGATCATCGAGCGAGTGACCAGGGGGGAGCAGCCCCCGTTCCGGCCCTCCCTGGACCTGCAGAGCCACCTGGAGGAGCTGGGGCACCTGATGCAGAGGTGCTGGGCTGAGGACCCGCAGGAGCGGCCGCCCTTCCAGCAGATCCGCATGATGCTGAGAAAGTTCAACAGGTCTCTGGCCTTGGGCATGGAGCACCCCGAGCCTCCCCTGTGCCCCCCACCACCATATACCCCCCACTTCAGTCTCATCCCTGCCTGGCTCAGTTGGTTAGAGCATCGTCCCAATATGCCAAGGCCGTGGGTTCGATCCCCAGTCAGGGCACATCCAAGAATCGACCAATGAACGTATAAATAAGTGTAACAACAAATTCTCTTTCTCTCCCCCTCCCCCGCCCCCAATTCCTCTCTTTAAAATAAAAAAGTCTCAAAAAAAATAAAAAAATCTCATCCCTGCAGTAGCTTCTGTAGCCACCACAGCCTCACAGCCCCGTGTGAAAACCGAATGACCCAGGCGTCCCTAATGTTCCCCACCTCCCACACCCCTCTCCTCCCACAACACATCCACCCACAGCCCTCCTGCCCAGCCCCCAGGGCCCCTCGTCTTCACTGGTGTGCAGAGTACACGGGGCTTCTCTCTCCATGGGAGCTCACCCTGTGATTTCCTCTGCCCAGTGCCCACCCTGGGGCCCAGTGCCCCCAGATGCCCCACTGAGCCTGTGTGCCCTCCTGCTGCGTTCTCCATCAGAGTCCCCCCCCCCCACCTCCTCTGCCTCCTCACTCACCTTCCAACAAAACAGCTGGTGTGCCCGAAGCTTCATACTTGACCCTGACATCATCTCAAAGATGCACCGAACTTTCCTCCTACCCTTTCCCCCTGGCCATCCCATCCTGTGGTGCCCCTCACCCCCAACCTTCTCCAGGGTCCCCCTGCAGTTGGGGGTGGGCTGATAGCCTGGGGCGGGCACCCTCTCACCCCTGCCGGCTGCTCCCCGCCCGCCCGCCCTCAGAGAGAACAGCAGCAACATCCTGGACAACCTGCTGTCCCGCATGGAGCAGTACGCCAACAACCTGGAGGAGCTGGTGGAGGAGCGCACCCAGGCCTACCTGGAGGAGAAGCGGAAGGCCGAGGCGCTGCTCTACCAGATCCTGCCTCAGTGAGTGCCCCTGCCCGGCCCTGTGCCCCGCCACCCCTGCTCCCGCCCCGCCTCACCCTCTGACCCCTGACCCCTCAGCTCAGTGGCTGAGCAGCTGAAGCGCGGGGAGACCGTGCAGGCCGAAGCCTTCGACAGCGTCACCATCTACTTCAGTGACATCGTGGGCTTCACGGCCCTGTCGGCCGAGAGCACGCCCATGCAGGTGAGTCCGGGGGTGGCTGCCAGCGAAGGCTGCCGCCCCATAGGAGCACCCTCAGCCTCCCTGCCTTCTGGTTCCGCATTCCCGCCCAAGCCCAGGAGGAGCCCCCACTCCCCACCCCATGGGCTCTCCTCCTTTCCAGGTGGTGACCCTGCTCAACGACCTGTACACCTGCTTCGATGCCGTCATAGACAACTTCGACGTGTACAAGGTGAGCGTGTGCTTGTGGGCGGGGAGGGTCAGACAGACTGCTGGGCAGAGGCAGGAAAAGGGGATGGAAAGAGTGAAATAGGATCTTTGAGAGGAGACCCAGGTGCATGGGAGAGACAGGATCACAAGGAGACCCCCAGGGGCAGGTAGAGAAACTGAGCGGGGAGGAGGGATGGAGGGATGGGGGATGGAAGGATGGAGAGGTGGAGGGATGGAGGGATGGAAGGATGGAGGGATGGGGGATGGAGGGGTGGAGGGATGGAGGATGGAGGGATGGAGGGAGGATGGAGGAAGGATGGAGGGATGGAGAGGTGGAAGGATGGAGGGATGGGGGATGGAGGGGTGGAGGGATGGAGGATGGAGGGATGGAGGGATGGGGGATGGAGGGATGGAGAATGGAAGGGTGGAGGGATGGAGGATGGAGGGATGGAGGGATGGGGGATGGGGGATGGAGGGATGGAGAATGGAAGGGTGGAGGGATGGAGGATGGAGGGATGGGGGATGGAGGGATAGAGGGATGGAGGATGGAGGGATGGGGGATGGAGGGGTGGAGGGATGGAGGATGGAGGGATGGAGGGATGGGAGATGGAGGGATGGAGGGATGGGGGATGGAGGGATGGAGGGCTGGGGGATGAGGAAAGCCAGCCACTGGCTGGCAGGTGCGGGTGCAGAATGAGAGTACACAAGGGGAGGGGTTGGGGCGGCCCAGGGAGAGGAAGCTCCAGCCCCACGCCCTGCGCCCTCTCCCCCCCCCCTCCCAGGTGGAGACAATCGGCGATGCCTACATGGTGGTGTCGGGGCTTCCGGTGCGGAACGGGCGGCTGCACGCCTGCGAGGTGGCCCGCATGGCCCTGGCGCTGCTGGACGCCGTGCGCTCCTTCCACATCCGCCACCGGCCCCAGGAGCAGCTGCGCCTGCGCATCGGCATCCACACAGGTGAGGCCCCCACACAGGTGAGGCCCAGAGGCGGGGAGGGGGCTTCCGAAGGCTGAGCTGCGGAAACTCTGGCCTCAGACCCACCTCCTGCCTCTTCGGAGCGCTCTAGCCCCGCCTGTGGCCGCCCTCGAATCCCCTCCCTCCCTCCTTCCCTCCGTCCCTCCCTCCTTCCCTCCACACCCGCCGGCCCCCTCGCTGATGGGCTTCGTTCCCTCCAGGACCCGTGTGTGCTGGCGTAGTAGGGTTGAAGATGCCCCGTTATTGTCTCTTTGGGGACACAGTCAACACGGCCTCACGAATGGAGTCTAACGGGGAAGGTATGGCGGCCTCTAAAGGGGATGGGAGCCCAGGAAAGTCCCCCGGACAGCTTGTGCCTGTCCGATCCCTGTCCCAGCTCCTCCCCTCTCTCCTGCCCACCTCCTGCTCCTGGGAGAGCAACCTGGGCAGATCACCTTGCGTCTAGTCAGAGACTCAGATCCTAAGCTGCCCTCTCTTTTCAAATGTTTGAAAAGTCTTTCCAGGCCCCAGTTCACCAGTTCCCAGCAGGAATCCCACGTTTAGAGCCCCCAGTGGGCTCAGAGCTGCCCACTGGGGTGTGAGGCTCAGCTCTACTCCGAACCCAGCTGGGTATGGATTTGGTACACCATTCTGAGTCTTCGTTTTCCTCATCTGTAAGAGTGAGAATAAAAAATCTGCCTCATTGCCGAAACCAGTTTGGCTCAGTGGATAGCACGTTGGCCTGCGGACCGAAAGGTCCTGGGTTCGATACCGGTCAAAGGCATGTACCTTGGTTTCAGGCACATCCCCAGTGGGGGGGTGTCCAAGAGGCAGCTGGTCGATGTTTCTCTCTCATCGACATTTCTAACTCTATTCCTCTCTGTGTAAAAAAAAAAAAAAATCTGCCTCACTAAAGTTATAGGAGGAAGGCCTATAACACGAGGAAGACATAGTTGTCATTCAACTTTTCCGAGCCTCGGATATTATCTGTAAAAAACGATGCCTGTCTCGGGGTGTAGAACACCTAGCACAGCCCCTGGCGCACAGTAGGTGCCTAATAAATGCTTGCTCCCTCCTCTTCCTTTGGTCCTGCTTCCTGTTGATCTTTTTCTGCCTTCCTGCTGATTCCGACACAGTTTCACCAAGTGAGCATTTATTGAGCAATGTGCTGGGATAGGAAGACCCAGACCCACAGTTGGCTGGAGAGTCCACGTGGACCCCATCCAAACCTCACGGCGGAAGGAGGGCTACTCGGAGCCAAGTGGGGCTCTGGTCCAGCACGTGTTGCCTGGGCACTGTGCTTGGGGCTGTCCGGGTAGGAGAAGGCCTCTCGTTGAGATCCAGTCCTCGAGGAGCACGTCCTCAGGAATGGTTAAACAACACAACAAGGCCACCGTGATGCAGACCCCGGCGGTGGCGGGATCGAGTTCAGAGGGAGATCCGATAGAGAAGGGCTGTGGAGATGCTGGTCAGTGGTCAGGAGGCCTCGCTACCTCAGCTGGAACACCAGGGTGGCGAGTTAAATAACCGACAGCAGTCACTGATCGAGGGCTTCCTGTGTGCCAGATTCTGTTCCCTTTTTGAAGGTTAAACTTAATCCTCCCAGCAGGGCTTCGAGATGGGCACTGTCCCTGTCAGCACTCTATGGATTAGGAAGATGAAGCCCAGAGAGTTCATCTGTCTTCCCCAAGCAAGCCTTCACTCTGGCATGCATCCTAGGCAGAGCAGGCCCCAAAGTCCGAGGTCCTGACCACTGTGCTACACACTCACTGTCTAGAGCCTGGTGAAGCGCAAGGGTGCTGTCCATTAGAACTTTCCGCAGTGATGAAATTGTTCTCTAATCTGAGCTGTTCAATATGGGGGCCGGGTCACAAGGGGCTATTTTTAAAAAAATATATTTTATTGATTTTGTACAGAGAGGAAGGGAGAGGGATAGTTAGAAACATCGATGAGAGAGAGTCATCGATCAGCTGCCTCTTGCACACCCCCTACAGGGGATGTGCCCGCAACCAATTTACATGCCCCTGACCAGAATCGAACCCGGGACCCTTCAGTCCCCAAGCTGATGCTCTATCCATTGAGCCAAACTGGTCTCGGCCACAGAGGGCTATTGATCACTTGAAATGTGGTCTTGCAGCAGGGGCATTGCATGTTTAATTAATTGATTTTGTTTTAATTAATTTAAATTAAAAAAAATTACATGTGACTCTTCGCTACCAGAATGGAGAGGTCACACAGCTCTCAGGCTCCAGCAGAGAGGCCAGTGTGGTCAGACACCACGTGGAGAGGGTGGGACTCTGGTTAGGAAGCTTCCTGGACCAGAAAGAAGGAGAGAGCATCTTTCTACCCGCCAGTGCCTTGATTTCCCCTATTCCCTTCTTCTCCTTATCCTACTCAGCCCTGAAGATCCACTTGTCTTCGGAGACCAAGGCTGTCCTGGAGGAGTTCGGTGGTTTCGAGCTGGAGCTTCGAGGGGATGTGGAAATGAAGGTAGAGGAGGAAGCCCCTAGTGTCACCATCCCTGGGGGCCCCCGAGGGGGCTCCCCTCCCTCAAGCCCCTTCTCCAGCAGCCACTTCCACTCCCATCCCAACCTCCCCTTCTGTTTCCCTCCAGGGCAAAGGCAAAGTCCGGACCTACTGGCTCCTGGGGGAGCGGGGCAATAGCACCCGAGGCTGACCGGCCTCTCCTCCCGGCCCCCGCCCCTCCCTTGCCTGTGCCAGAGTGACAGAGCGGTTCCAGGCCCCCCTCACCCACCGCAGCCCCACTGTCGCCAGAGGATCAGGAGAGGCAGTGTGAGCAGCTCAGGTGTGCTCACTCCCGTGGAGACACCACACATCTCCTCTGCGAGGGGACTGGTGGAGGGGAGAGAACTTGGAGCTCACAGAACCAGACAAAGCCCACAGCCACGCCCAGTGGGACCCACACCCGTTACCCACCCCGCCTCAGGCCAAGCTGGGGTGCCCAACCCCTCCTGTGCCTCCTCCCTCAACCTTGCTGCACTGTGACTTTCGTGGGGAAGGAGAAGAGCCACCTGAGAGGGAATAGGAAAAGGCTTTAGAGATGAATCGGGGGGCGGGGGGAGGGGGGAATCCACAACTGCCACAAACACCCCCCTATCTCCCACCACCCAACACTGGATACAGTGTGCAGGGGAGAGGCAAGGTATGGAGGGGCTGGCGGCCTGTATGCCTTGCTTCTCAACTGTGAGTGGAGACCATTAAAATCTTTGTTCTAGTGACAGTGTCTCTTCTTGAGGGAGAGAGGGTTGCCAGAAAACACAGCCATGTCCTCCACCCTCTCTGACAGAGGAGACACGTTTCTCAAGCTGGGAACAGCTTGCGAATCGCCCAAGCATTGCATGCATCACTTTTGAGCCAAGGAACCATTTCCACCCTTAAGAGTTATTGAGGGCCCCAAAGAGCTTTTGTTTATGTGGGCTTATCTATGGATATATATTCTGTACTATAAATGAAAACAGCCCTATTAACTCATTTAAAATAACGATAATAAACCCATCACATGTTAGTAATTTTTTACTGCTTTATCAAGCACATTCGTAAGAGAAACCGGTAGCCCTGGCTGGTGTTGCGCAGTGGTTAGAGCGTCAGCCCAAGCACCGAAGGGTCGAGGTTCTTGTCAAGGGCATGTATCCTTAGGTGAGGAGTAACAAAAACTGTTAGTGGCGGGAGAGGGAGAAATTGTTTTTTAACTGGCAATATGTGATAACAAAGAGGCCAATGACTAGTTTGGTGCTCTGCCTTGATTTATGCTAAGATATCAGCAGTGTCTCTCTCTCTCTCTCTCTCTCTCTCTCTCTCTCTCTCTCTCTCACACACACACACACACACACACACACACACACACACACACGTTGCTTTTTCACACTCAGTGCAAATAAAACAGTCCGAAGGGCAAATCATGTACTAGTAGGAGCTTGAAAATCAGAAACAGGAAAAGGAGTGAGGACAGAATGGCAAGCTCTCGCATCTTTTGCCCCAGGAGGCCTGGGAGCAAAGAAAAAGGGATGGGGGGAGGGGGGGACACGACATATGGATCCCTTTTCAATCCCATTGAGATTTAGGGACTGTCCCCACGTCCCTCCATTCCCATGCCAGTGTAGACAGATGGGAGTGATAGTTTGCAAAATGACTCCCCGCTGGGCTAAGGGCCCTCCCGTCCCAGCTCCCTCCGCTCTCCCCACCCCCTTCCTGAGCGGCAGGCAGGCAGGAATGCAGATGAGGGGGGAGAGGTGGCTACAGCTTCACCTCCCCCAAGGGGGAAGAAAGCGCCAGACATTTCTTCAGTGCCATCCATCAAGTGCAGACAGGCCCTTCCTCCACCTCCCTCCCCAAGCCTCTTCCTGGAGTCCACACCCAGGGGGGCCTGGAGGCAGGGGGTGGGCAGCGTGGAGGCCTGCCGTCGGGGCAGTGCTCCCTGGTACGTGGTCTGGGGTGAAGAAAGGGTAAATTGTTCTCTTGTCCAGGGACCTCGATGTTCTGTGCTCCCTCCCCACCCTTTGGGGCCTCCGGCAGCTTTGATTTATTGGGAGAGGCAGCTTGCACGGTCAAGTCCTCATCCTCTGCTGTGGAGGAATAGCCTGGGGAAGGCCTAACAGAAGGATAGTTGCCCGGGTAACCACAGCAAACTCAACTTTCTAGTGGGCTCTGGTGACCATCTCCCACTCTCATGCCCAGTTCCCCTCCCAAGGGTAGAAGACCACCCCAGAACAGAGTGGATGTGCTAAGGAGAACTAGGGCCTGAGAAGTTGAGCTTGGGGGGCTGGGCATCTAAGGAGACTGGGCTTTGGGGAGGGGAGCGGGGAGCCGAATGGCTGAGGAACTCCGGCAAGACAATTCTAGGAAATTGCCCGTCAGATCCTTCCGGGGTAGCCTGGCTCTGCTGCTGACGCTGGAGGGGAGGGCGCTGGGGGTGGGCGTCAGGAGCGGCCCGGGAGTGGATGATTTCTGCAGCTCCAGAACTTTCACTGGGACCGAGAAGATTTCCTTCCGGAGGAAGGTCCCTGAGGCCAGGAAGAACTGGGAAAGCCATTACCCAGAGGTGGGGGGTCCCACGTTAGCGGCTCTCCTCTGAGCTCGGGAGGCGGATCTGTGCCAGGAACCGCCGCCCGCAGGGGAGGGGCAGTCTGGCCTGGCAGTTTCCCCAGCTGGCCCGCAGAGCAGGTCTGGGAGGGCTGAGTGGGCAACAGGGTTTCCCTGGAGTACGATGAGAATAACAACAGCAATCGCTGGCATTCAGTTGGGCCTTGGAGCGGACAAAGGCTTTCACATACGTTAGCTCAGCAGTCCATGTGACACCCTTTGGAAGGGGGGTGTGGGCCATGCAGCTGGGGGAGGAGGGCCCCTGTAGACTGTGTGCAAAGGGAACCCTAGCCCAACCAGCTCTGCACAGGACTGAGGCTTGGAAAAAAGTAGAGTTGACAAGACAAATATCCTCTTCCCCACCCCCTCCTCCTCTATGTCAAAGAGCTTGGGTAATATATCATAGCAGTACATTAAGTAATAATTTTTAAACTTTTTAAAAATATATGTTTTTTTTTATTGATTTGAGAGCAAGAGGAAGGGAGACAGTGAGAGAGCAATATCGATGTGAAAGGGGAGCATTGATCAGTTGCCTGTTGTAGGTAAGGGGCCTGCCCTGACCAGGAATCAAACTGGCGACCTTTCTAAGCAAGGGTCGGTGCTCAATCAACTGAGCTACTCCAGCCAGGGCAAGTAATACTTTAAAAATATATGTTTGTTTATTTATTTATTTAAAATATATTTTATTGATTTTTTTACAGAGAGAAAGAGAGAGGGATAGAGAGTTAGAAACATCCATGAGAGAAACATTGATCAGCTGCCTGTTGCACACCCCCTATTGGGGATGTGCCGCAACCAAGGTACATGTCCTTGACCAGAATCGAACCTGGGACCCTTCAGTCCACAGGCCTATGCTCTATCCACTGAGCCAAACCGGTTTCGGCTATATGTATATTTATTGAAAAAATGATTTCCACCTTTCTGGACAGATCCGTGGAATCTAATTAGCAGCGGAGGACAGTTTTGCAGCCTGAAAGTCATTTTTAATTAAATTGCAGGAGCTGTAAAAATATAAAAACAAATAAAGTAACCATAAAAAATATCTAATGCTGTCCAGGAAGACTTAATCTTATTGAGTTAGAAGGCAAGCAAGGTTACAGGCGAGGTGTTTACCACCGAGATGAAGGAGTTAGGATGCTGATGAATTTGGTGAAGCATCAAGCAGAGGCCAAGATGTTGAGGAGGAGGAGGAGACCAAGGAAGACAAGAGGGGGCATTTGACTGTAGTGCAAGGCCCAGATTTAGTGAGGGGGTCCAGGTGGGAAAGATCCCACCCACTCAATTACCTATCACATACATCGCGTCACTGAGTGGCTGAGCGGGTTGCCCCTTAAGAACCTTTCCATAGCAAAGATTCCATAATCAAGTACGTCTGTTAATCACTGTGGCACCCCCTCTGAACTTGATGCAACTAGCCCACTATTATTTTCTTCTTTCGGCTTTCAAATGTAGACTTCACGGGGAGAGGGGTGGAAGAGATTAACCAAAGAACTTGTATACCTATAAGCATCATCCATGGACACAGACAATAGTGCGGGGAGCGGGGAGGAGACAGATACAGGGTGAAGGGGGTCAGTGGGTGGAAATAGGGGGCATCAGTAATACTTTCAACAATAAAGCCAATTTAAAACAAAACAACAAACAAATGTGGCCTAACCGGTTTGGCTCAGTGGATAGAATGAGAGGTCTCGGGTTCCGTTACAGTCAGGGGCATGTATCTTGGTTGCGGACACATCCCCAGTGGGAGGTGTGCAGGGGGCAGCTGATCAATGTTTTTGGCTCTATCCCTCTCCCTTCCTCTATGTAAAAAAAAAAAAAAAAAAAAAAAAATCAATAAAATATATTTTAAAAACAAAACAAAAAACCCACAATGTGGACTGCACACGGTATACTTAGGCTGCTGATATGTCCCATGATCAGGTCAGCCCACAAAACTCCCAGCAGGCCAGAAACAGACTAGAATACCGCATAGATCTCAATGTTTGGAATTGGAGCAATTTCAAACATCTCTGAAGTGAGAGGCAGTATAATGTTGGCTAAGAAGAGGCTAACTATGGAGACAGCCTGCCTGGACTCAAATCCCAGCTTTGTTCCTCATAATCCATGTAATCTTGGGCAAATTTCTCAACTCTGCTAAGCCTCAGCTTTCTGCTCTGTAACACAGGAATGATCAGAAGACCTATCTCATAGGGTCGCTTTGAAGATTCCATGAGTTAATTCTCCCCGATACAAGCTTAGAATGCTGACTGGCAAGTGGTGAGAACTAGATAAGTGTTTGCTAGTTTATTGAGTCCACATCATACAAACCACACTGCTCCATGTAAGAAGCTCCTGCTGTCCAGAGAAGAGCTGGACGTGACATGCAGCACACAACTAGACCTCAGCAAGAGGGGCTGGTAAGTTCTAAACATCATATAAGAAAAAGTAGAAGTCATGCAGTCCAGCAGCCTACCCAGGCCCAACATCTTTCTTAAAATACCTGTGTATTCTTCCATGTTCTACTGGAAAGCTTTCAGGAACTTGGAACTCAAACCAATCTATTTTTGAACAGCTGTAACTAGAATATTCTTCCTGACA